CTGAGGTCTACTGAAGGGCTCAAGAGCATTCTCCACAGGGAACACAGATGGTTAGAGCTTCGGCATGCTGCATGTTGGGGGAATCAGAGACAAGCCAGAGCTGAAATGCAGTTACTACCACAGGAAATGAATTCAAATTAAACACTGCAAACAAAACAGTGGGGAAGACTGAGCTGTCAGCATGCCTTTAGTGGCAGACAATCCCATGGCTGGCATTGAAGCCCAGTGATCTGTTACACAGTTCCTACCTACAATAAATTACTCCTGAGTTTATCAGAAGGACAGTATCATCTCTCAGTGATGAAAGAGAAGCAAAGAAGAAAGAGGAGGACTATATTAAGTACTAGTAAGAATTTTGTCCTTCAAATAAACTTACATCTGTTGCATGCAACACTACAGAAGGTTAGCAATATTTCTCACCAACAATACACCAGAAAATGCCTTACAAAGTAAATGGACAAGCAACCCAAGAAACTATCAATGTAATTTCCATTATGCTTTGGAATCAGAAGAAAATTTATTACACTTTTAAATATCAGGTATCAATTTTTAGAAGGAATACATATTGGGTATTACCACTAACTTGAGCTTATAGAAGTGCTTACTCATATGCTTATTTACACACATCATAAACAAAAGTCTGACAAAAATGTATCTTCTAATGTTTCCATGGTACATTATTCTGTATATTAATCACAATGATTGCATTATGACTTTATGTCTAATTTATCTCTAATGTTAGCAAAATGTTAACAAGAAATTGCTGAAAATCTTTGAGAATTTTCTCCCATACCTATGCAGAATTTATGGACCTTGTCATTTACAGCCCTTGGTCTCCCAGACTGGGGGACACCACTATCAGACTGTAAACTCTATGTTACCATGTAGGTGGAGATACTGCTACGGTGGTTGCTTAACTCTCATACCAACAGCATATGATTATGTTCCCTTGAGATGGCTGCCCCTGTTGCAGGACCAGCACTGACAGCAACCGGAGGATATTAACAACATGTACTGAAGTGCCAAAAGAACACAGATGAGACACAGTTCTCCTCACCCCTGGCAAAATAAGGAAATTCCACAATCATCAAGCTAGCTGAGTACTTGTCTGAGATCAGACAGTAGAGGAAGAAGGCCTGTTTGAAACTGAAGTAGTGCTCGTGGCAGAGAAACATGAGAAACAACTTGTGAAATCAAAAGTGAAAAAAAGTCAAGCTACGTTTGCAGCTTAGGTTATAACTCTGCAGGCAATGATTTGATTTCAAGAATAGGCATTTGTTACCACCCAGTTGGTTAGAATCAGGAAATTTGCCCTAGGACAACAACTGTTGTCGTCTCAGGCTACCACCAGGTTATCGTTCCTGTCTGCTACCCACTACACTGGCTCTCCAAAGAATAATGCACAAATTGTAAGATTCAGGCCTTTTCCTCACAGTGTTTAAGTGTCCAGGACATCTAAGAAACTGCTTCACATTCCAGAACTGTAACTCTAATCCTTAAGCACTAAAGAACAGATCATAACCAGGACAAACCTAATTCATGTCAGAGGCTGAGCTTCCTCAGAGACTAATTCAAGTAGGACGAACTAAGACCTGTTTACTTTTGAAGGTTAATTCCAATTGACCTAGGATCTGAATTGGTAGCAAAATCCCCAAAGTTCATTCCACCTCACGTTGGACCACTGCACTATTTACCCAGGCTCCCTGTATAGACAGTAGCAAGAGATTATCTTCAGAGAGCGATGCAGGTCGCAGGAGAGCTGGGTCATCTTCATGAGATGCCAGAGACCAGTCCTTTTAAACCAGTACATGCCACCTTGATAATCGCCTTGCTGAGCTGGCCTGCCCCTCAGTGGCTTTAAAAAACTGGGGTGAAAGGGTGCACGTAGATATGACCTTAGGTCATATGTTAAGACAAGTGGCATGAGACATGATACAATTACTGCAGCTGTACAGAACCATGAGTCTATCCCAATTTTCTTAGCAGCTGCTTGCTGCTTTAGAAGCTGCTAAACTAGCTGGAGCTGCAATTTTCTAGATGATCATGGCCACGTGATTCTCTTAGTAGTATGCACTATGTGTGATTAGCCAACCACACCAAGCCACCTCTGTAAGATGCTGAGATACTATGGTTATGGGAATAGCACAAAAATCTTTATTGACTAGGGTTTCTACAGATTACTAAGATCTTTAAGGAGCATGTTAAGTATGACAAGAGCTTAAGAGGGGACAGTATAATAAGAAAGAGGTGGCTCATCAAAGGGGACATTGGTAAGTGCCTGCCCCTTCGTGATTCCTGGCCTCTTAGAGCTTCCTGCTACTAACTACTGTTCTCTTCTTAGAAGCAACTCTTTCTCATGCCAACTGTTTCTGTTTTCTCTTCTATGTCTGTGGAAGGAAGAAGGAAAGAAGTGGGCTTGCTGGGGACAACATGCTGTCCATACATCGTCTTCAGGGAAAGACGGAGGATCAGGAACTGTTAGGATGAAAATACCTATGGCAATTCTTTTCAAAGCTGCTCCCCCCCCGTGGTAATTATCCTAGTGTAGCTCTTCCCTCTCTGTCTTCCAAGCTGACTCCTTGTAAGTGACTCGACTTCTTTAGTAAAATGTGCTACAATATTTACTGCCCAATCCTTATTAATCTTACACATTGCCCTAGTACGAGAGAGAGAGAGAGAGAGTAAGCTGTTGTTGAGATAACTGGCTTCCATTAGCAACCATGTGATTGGCAGGACGATAAAGTCTTTTCCCTTGCAGGTCAGCTGCTTTTTAAGAAGAGGGCAATCCTGCTGATCCATCTTTTAGCTACAGTCTCTCACTGAGTCCCAAATCTCCTGCCTTTTAGCTTTGATACGGTTCAAGCTTTCCTCCTTGTATCAGCCCCTACCTGTCATCAGCTCCTCTGTACCAAACAGCCAATATCAGGAGTTTGACCTCAGGGCACAGTCCGGGTGGGCAGGTAAAACCTGACCACTGGACCTACTTCCTTATCTTTCATATCCTGCAATTCATGAAGAAGTATCGAATTCAAACTAAAAAACAGAAGCATGACCTTTTATAAGAACTTTCTGAAAAAGGCTCTGTTGCCTTTCTAAGTATTCTTGAAAAGAACTGTCATCCACCCTATTAAGATAGAAATGGATCACAAATAAGGAAGAGAGGGAAAACATTGCAAATCCTTACTAAACGGTAAATGTTTTTAATGTGTGCTTGCAATACCTTTTGGTGAGGCACGCAAAAATATAGTAAAAAACAAACCAAAACAAATACACTAGAACTATTCTACATCTACAAGCTCCAATTGCAACCCAACAGAGTTGCCCAGCCTTTTGCTGTTTTAAAGTATCTGAAATTGATTAGATTCCCATGGCATACAGAGCATCCCCTATAAAGCGTTACTTGCATCAAGAGAATTCTAAATATAAGTTGCTAACATAAACTGAGAGCTATCATAAGCAACATAATATCCCTATTTATGTGACATGCTTGACAGTTGGTGCTTAAAACATACAAAAATATTATATATTTCCTGTAGCAAGTATGGACACACCCTGCCCTCCTGCATGGCTGGAAATCACGTTTTCCCTTGAAACAAACATAGGCTCTGCAAGGATTTATACCACTTAGGTGGATGACAGAAATGGTGCCAAAATCTCTCAACATCCTTTCCCTTCAACTAAACTGACTTAGTACAAATTGGAAGATGTTTAGTCACTTCTAACATTGATAATAAAAGGAGAATAAAAAAGAATCCAAAAGAGGAAGGCTGCTAGTCAAGGCAAGACTTGTGGTGTTTGAAGTCTGGCAAAGTGTATCTTTACATACTGAATTCTGGAACTCCTAATGTACAAGAATCACATGAACAAATCTTATGGCCATGATCTTATATCGTCCACACGTAGTCCACGCTTATCCCATTGTAGATATTCATTATTATATGACTGTGAGAATGTAACAGACAACTCTACCTTTTAATTTTTTTATTTAAAAAGACACTTTAATGAAGTCCTTTCTAACTATTAGAGGAAGTTGGAATACTTTCGCCTCTGGAATTTTACCTTCTAAAATGCCTTTTCATTATCTTGCGTGAAAAACCTACTGAACTATTAAAAGCAAAAATATTCTTACTATATAGATAATTTGGTATGGAATTCTTTCTACATTTCTCTTCTTTTCTGATGACTTTGACAGGCTCATAATGGTGCTGAAAAATACCACCAACATCTACAGAAAGCTAAAGACCTTCCATGTGCAGTTAACGATTCATTTCACTATTTAAATGACACTTATACTCGCAATTTTGTGAAATAATAAATCCTTTCTAAAAGCTTACTTCAAGTATGAAAAGTTTTTGAATATCAATTGCTATGGGTGAATATAGTGTCAGAATTTACAGAGAGCAGGGAATAGAAATAACTGTGAAATTAAGATAAGTAGATTTTAGTCTGGAAAAACCTTCTTTTTGGCAAGAACTGTGGAAAAGTGCTTCCAATATTAAGGCATTTAAAATTAAATTTGATATAGAATAAAGATCAGCCAGTTCGAATAAAGCGGCTTTCTAACAGTTTAAAATAATTCTATGTAACAAATTAAGGAAAGGAAATGCTAAATAATACCATGCCTGATTCTGCTCTCCAGGGAGTAGTTTTGCAGACAGGAGCAATTGCTCAGAATGGAGTCAGGCCAGCACACACCAGGGTAACATGTACACTCTTGCAAAAAGGCGTCACAGGATCTTTACAAAATTGTCAGGACCAAAATTCAATCTTATATCCGTGTGACAGTACCACCAGTAGCACAGTGCCCCCTAACAACACACTGGAGAAACAGTTTTATGCTAAATTACAGGGAATAGTGCCACTAATAACACTATGAATAACTGCTTTTCAAAACTAATTACATGGGAATGCAAAAACATGAAAGGTTCTTGAATTTAATAACTTCAGCGTTGGTCAAAAGAGGAAATTAGTAGGATAAAAAACAACAACTAGTGTCTTACTTGTCTGAGGTCGATGAAAGCTAACTGCAGGGTGTCTCCCTGGAATCCTGGCACAGGCTCAGAACTAGCAAACACTGCAAAGAAAGGTTAAAAATATTACGGATGTAGATTTTTTAAAAAAATCTAACAGAAAATCAAGCTCTATGCAATACAAATGCTAGCTAGCATTAAAATGAAACTAGTTTGATAGAAATAGATTAAACTAATAACTCACAGTGATTAAAAACAAACCAACAAACAACTTTCCCATCATTTTCCCAATAATCCCGAAGAATGGTATCTTCAGGAGTATTATTAGGAATTTCGCTTAAAATTCTAACCCAGTAGTAATGCTACAACCACAGAAGCCAGCATCTTTTTTTGGCCTGAGGTGAATGATTACTGAAGAATTTCTAAATAATACCAATTCCATGGCTGTCAACATATTTTCAAACATCTGCTTTTCTTACAGCATCCGTGCTATAAAAACCCCACCTCTAGCCAAACAGCAATAAAAGAGAAACACTAAGGTGGGAGTTAGTTTAATTTGTAGACGACAGGTGGAAAGCTCTACGTGCCACAGTCAGAGCAGAGCTGAAATGCCTGTTCACGCCTTTTAGCCAGCTTATCAATATGAACTTCTGCTCTTTTTGAACCCCAAAATAGGCTGTCAAAATTGGAAAGCAAAACTATATTCAAAATACAAAAAATGGTAACACTACAGTAATGAAAAAAAGTCAGCTATTTGTTTAAATTAGGAAATGATCAATAATTGTCAAACTTAAAAATATACTTTTTGTTGTTCTTATCCCAGTCACATGTTAATAACAAAGACACTTGCAGAAACACCCACTGCCTCACATCCCCGCTCAAGTTAGACATCTTGCTTCAGAAGAGCTTAGGAGAATTTTTCTTATGCTCTTCAGTTAGAGCTGTTAACAAAACAAAGTAGATATTACTGTAATCGTTTTAGAGAGGTATCATCTGAGGCAGTGCAAGGTAACATTTTTTTCCAAGTTTGAGAAACCCATCATTCGATGGTAGAGGAAAGAGAACGTATGTATCCAAAAAATTGCCAGATCCAGTGCTCAACTACTGTGCCACATGGACTCCTACTAACATTTAAGAGTAATCCTTGAAAGAAATCCTTGATAGATTTTTTTTTTTTAAGGGCTAGTTAGAAAATTTGGATCATCAAGTGAAAGTAACATCCAGAAAGACACTGGTGTCCGAGCTAACATGATGGTAAAATAATGGACTCAATCATTTACTTCTCAATGTATGTTTTCAATTTAAAGCAGACTAATGAATTTAGCCTTGTGAATAGTCTATCTGAAAATGATTATATGGAATACAATTGAAAATGAAAATAATAAAGATTCTTACTTAAGTGGTACAAGAAGCTACTGAGACGATCTCAGAATATGTAAGAATAGCTTAGTAATAGATGAATATAGTATCAGAGTAGCAGCTTCACTGGTAGAGGCAGAGTTTATTATTTGTATTACAGTAGTGCAAAACTTTTTATGGACAGTCATGTAATAGCAGAATGAATTAAACGGGAATATGATTTGATTCTTCATCGACTAAAGGAATAAAAAATAGCAATCAAACACCCTAGAGACAACACTGTAATGTCACAGACAAGTATTGGTAACAGTTGGCAAATGCTTACTGATTACTGTATTCAAGACTGAATTTTAAATTATCTGGTTTTCCTGCTTTATAGTTAACACAAACTTTCTAGGGGAGTTTTCAAGGAGTTTTAATCTACCACAAAGATGCTTTTTAAATAAAAAAGAAGAAAGATAAAAAACAGTGGAAAAAGCATTTTATAGAGAGAGTTTGCTTAATAATACACTCTTTAAAAGCAGCAAAGAGAAAACAGTCTGTACAACCACCAACCTGCAGAAGAACAAAAGATCTCCACACCTATGAAAGCACCCTTCTGAACACCCTAGGCTAAAGGGCTGGGTGTCTCCATGGCTGTCTTCTGCAGGTATTTCACGGCCACTGGGACCACCCTTTCTTCAGGGACAGACAGGCCTATGATGCTGGCCCCTGTGGTCACCCAAACATAGCGTTTAAAATGGGAACACCATACTATATAGCAGGGAATTCTTAGCAATGCCAACAACAAACAGCTAAAAAGAGATACATGGGTTGTGAGCTATGGTAGCACACTAATAAGGAGGATAAGTGTGATGGTCAGAAGGGGTCTTTTCTACATCCCCCAAACAAGGAAGGAAAACTTGTCCTATTCTTCAAAGATAAGGCCCATCTGTATCTGAATCCTATATAACTTTCCGTTCATACACAGTACACTGAGACCAGCTTCCCCGACTAGAATCTGAGCTCCTCCAGCCACTCCACAGTGGTAGCACTGGGAGAAGGAAGCTCTACGGCAAAGGAATGGCTGCAGAACTGAGAAGTGAATATAACTGAAAAGCGTGACCTGCAGCAAAACTTTTCAGTTAGCTATTGGAACTTTATACTTTGGGAGGTACCTTCCTATAGTGGGATACTTTTACTTGTCACAGGGCAAATATTTGCATCCTTCCTGTAGCTCATCAGGCTAACATAGTTTGGAATTTATCCTAATGCATTAAATAAGGCAGTACAATTTAGTTTCTCTACATAGTACCTACATTGCCGCTATAGAACAAGAAGCACACAAGGTACCAAACTTAATTATTGTATAAGCTTTGTTCTCTTTAATTACAATTTTATATTATGAGTGCATTTACAACACCAGGGACACTCGTTATAGCACAAGCATTTATTCTCACATTTGGGTCATTTTTGACAGGTGACTACAGTAGAATTTGTTTCATTATTACAATTTCATGAGTTCAAAGGGCAAAAAGATAATCTACTTAGGGTAACGGTCAGACAGTTCCCCCTCTGTCCTCAGCTCAGGGCTTTTAAGTTTTGCTAACAATTTTACAAAGCTAATTACATATTTTCTACTGCGCAGCGTTTTAGGAAGATGTTATGAGAACAGGATTAACATTCTTAATGCCTTTGTCCTAAGGGTCCTTTTCAAGATAGCAATGAAACATTGTCATATATACATCTTTTAAAATATCCACCCCCTACATTCATTCTAGGCTTAAAGAGGATTTGGAGGGGTAGGGGGCTGGTTGGTTGTTGGTTTAGTGTGCATAAGAGCATTCAGAAATTTTATAATATATGAGAATGAAATGCAAAGATCACCATTGAACTGTCACATACAGGGGCAAGCAACTGGCTGCTTAGCAGTTTGAATCAGAAACTTCAATGTTTTGGGGAAAATAAGCTGAAAATATGCGTTACATGAATCCAATATTCACAAGGTTTTTGTTAATATCTTTCCCTGCACTTTGCTGATACTGTGTAGATCTTTTCTGTGTATATAGAACAGGATCTTTGGCACAAAGCGTGTCCTCAATATGTACAATCTCAACGTACTTCCTACAACAGCCAGTTTGGGAATTTACAGGAGGTGGGATCTAATGAAAAAAGTATGTAAAATACAAAAACAGGCTGGGAGGTAACACATACACGAGAACGGTAAATTTAAGTATTGTAAAGATGACTTCGGTCCATTTTCTTTTGAATACTTTGCTTTGATCTTTCCATTACATTTTGTATACAGGATATATGTGAATTGATGTATTTATGTGTTAATGGATATCTTAAGAAAAAGGCTGTGTCTGCTAAAATGGAATTTAAGACATCTTTAACTGTAAATTGCACTGAATTTCTACGCACTTCTAGATTTATTAATAGATCTCTTCATTTTATTCTCTCAAAACCCCATCTTTTAGCCATCATCTGGTTGTGCCTCTTTGTTGGTCTGGGAATTCAGTACCTAATTCCTGACCAATAGTTTTGCTGCTCAATGGCAGAAATTAAAAATCAGAGTCCAGACTTTGGGTCAAAAGCTCAATTAGGACAGTTTTACTTCAGCCTCATAGCACTGATCCACAGGCAGCAAAGCTACAAATGTATTTTTAAAGGAAGAAGGGAGAATCAGGTGACTATCTCAGCAGCCGTCAGCCACTTTGCAGCCCTGTTGGATGCTCCAGCTGTTCAAACACGCCTGGAGGGGAGCCTCGCTGAAGGAGCTGCCAGCTGCTGGGCAGCAGCCCCCAGCCCTGCCCCCAGCATCGGCAAGATCTCGCTGCTTCCCCTCACTCCCATGCTGCCATATGTGACCGGCAGATGAAGGATGGTCTCAACTGAGTTAAGTTAACCTGACTTCCCAGATGGGAGGGGAGGCAGGTAAAGTGAGGGGCCTCCAGAGGAGAATATAGTGCCTTTTCAAGGAAAAACAGGATTTGGGTTCCTCAGCTTCTGGCATGCCCGCCTGGAGACTACCTTCGTGTACGCTCAACAGAGAGCACTTGGGTCAAGATCTCTCTTGCTCTTGGATACTGCAGCTCTCCACAGAGTCGGTGAAAAAGGAGGGACTGGCAGGAAGCCCTACGTAGGGCTGGTTAGGAAGGTGTACTGCATCCTGTTTTGCACTAATTCTCTGCTAACCCATACTCATTTATAGGCAGGACCCAAAACCTTTTCATCTCTCACAATTCAGCTATGTTAAAACATATAAATTATAAAAATTACATTTAACTCTTCCAACAATTAGAATTTCTGACAAGTTCTAATTCCTTAATAAAAAGCTGATGTAAGGTATCTAGATCTGGATGGTGTCTCTGAAAAGCTCATTTTTTATTATGTACACCCTGCTTCTCAAAGCGAGATACAGCAACCCACATTTGAATTTCACCTTCAAGAAACAGCAAACGCCACCCCTCCCCAACCCACTTCCCTCCTCAGGGCACTGAAATGCAATGTTCAAGCAAAAGAATATTCTTTGGGTTTTATTCAATGGGACCTTGTATGTTCTATTTTTCTGAATACTGTTGTAAGAATCCCAATCATCCTAGTGGAAGATCACTACTGAGAAAGAATGGTGTAAAATACAGAGGTAAAACACCGCTCTAAGTTATAAAATAGGTAGAGAGAGTGGAGAAATACTCCAATTAGAACAGGACAAACTGAAAGCTTTTGGAATGTTTGGAAAGAAAACGAAAAACTTATTAGAAGCAGAGCAAGAAGATCATAACTTTTTTTTTTTTTAAATAAATCATCAGAGAAGACCACTTGATGCTATTACTATTCTTGAACAAAAACACCAGATACTTCAAGATTTTCTGCTCTGCTTTTTAAAGTTAGGTACTTTGCATAGAAATGCAGTGCAGGATAATGAAGTCCCAGAGTTCACCACAAGATCACCTCCTTCCCTTCCACCTTCCTTTCTTGGAAGTCCACTTATCATTCTACCTATTTGCTGTGACTAAGGACTTCAGCACTTACTGACTTCAACAGATTGCTGCTCATTAACAGGTTGTTGGGTTGTTGGTTGGACTGTTGATTGCTTTTTAATGGAAGAGAAAAAAATCTGACAAGTAATCACATTTTCCTGCTTTCATTTAGATCTCCAGTTCATATTAGAAAAAATAAAAATGTAATGTTAAAGATCAGAATATCTAGAATATTGCCAAGAATTTTTAGAAATGTATCTTCAGATATTCCTAACTTTCTACATCTCACATAACTTCTTAGTTCAAAATGCATTTGAGTATACTCTACTGTGTCTATAAGTAAAATGTCAAGCCCATGTATACAATACAGTAGGAAACTACCCAACAGTTGTGAATTATTCGCACACTCTAAGCACTAATTGAAATGTCACTGTCGTATCCATTAATCCCAAAGTGTCAAAGAATAAAGCTGGGGGAGGGTGATGAGCAAGAACATAAATCACAGTGAGGCCTGGAATGTGCCTGTGATGGACCTTATGAATGAAACCACAACAGCAAAGCAGTCTGAGCAAAATCTTGTGTTGATCCCTTATTCCACAGATTGTAAGGTGTCATTTGTTGCAACATACTATTCTGACAAGCTTCCATAATTATATTTAAACTACTCAAAGGTTTTCTGTGCAAAACCAAATTTTTTCTAATGTGCTTTAAAAGCTTTGCAGAAAGGAAGAATTAAAGTTTATTCTATTTGCATCTGTACAGCCAATGCTAGAAGTTACGCAACAGTGGAAAGAATGCATTTTTCAGTCTTTAAATTACTGGTTTTCTGAAACTTTCTCATTTTGGCCCAAGGTTTCCCATGTCCTGTCCATGCCATATGCTCAGTGTAACAGCTACATATAACAAAACGTTGTCTTAAGGTTATATTTTAATCTTAAAATAATGAAATGTTATCACGTTAGATTAAATAAAACTCTAATAAGGATCTCTTCACTGATTGAAGTTTCCACTGTGCAGCAACCAAAGAAAGCAAGTGTTAATAGAAATTAGGATGGTACATAGCAGGGCAAAGGCTGAGAAGAAAAAGGTCTGAAAACAACCCAGAGACCAGACGACAGCCAGACTCGCTGGGACTTCTCATTACTTTGCTGTGAACATACTGTTCGTACTGTGAGAGTCACCTGCAAAGCATGCATTTTATCCCCTGTACTGCTAGAAATCCCCGAGTGAAACAGTGAATTGGTTGATCTATACAGAGTAGTGAAGTACTGCATTGTTCACAGATGATATTTTAAATATTATAAGCAGAATAATACAGTAGTGGGCAAGCTTTCTTCACTGTTACACTATTTGTTCAGAAGGCAGATGACTGTGTAGTGGGTGCACCAATTCAGCTTGTCTAGATGAATGATTATGGTGTCAGTATTATGAATACTACGGAATTTCTGTTTTTACAACTGGGATCTTTTTTACATCTAGGAAACTACACAAATGCACATACCCCTACCCCTACCCACCTACCTGAAAAGAACATTGTTAAATTTGTAACATCAAGCGTACTAAAAGTAAAAAAAAAAAGTCAAGCCATCATCTGTTTGGCCAACTTGTGCAATCACGAGACAAACTTAATGTCATGATCACAAATACTTTTTCAATCGGACCCTGATAATCCCGTCAGTTCATTCCATGCACTGAAAGGCCTTAAGGCTGTATAATGAAGGACTGTCAGAAAGATGCCTTCTCTACCTGTTACAGAGTTTAGCTGGAATGTAACAAATAAGGCAGGAGAAGGAAAGACAAGCGTATGGTTAAAATGTCAAAAATGCTTCTTAACTCTGTCCCTGGACTCCCACAAGAACCCTTTGTGATGCTAACCAAATTGCTTGAAATAAAATTTCCAGTTTCCCATAGGTGGCTGCTAATTGAGTAGTCATCAATTTTTTCACGTGTCCAAACTAAAAACCTCAGGATACGACTTGCAGAACTGCCCCATTTTACAGCTGTCACCAAAATCATTGAGATCCAGGCTTCAAACACGTAAGAGGAAAGATACTTTGAAAAAACAGAGCATAAGAATCTAAAAATATGCATTTAAAAAAATGCTAGTGAGTCTCTTTTCATTGTATCTCAAGTCATCAACTATAAAACCAGACCTAAAACCTATTCATAATACAATGTTATGGAAGTAACTTCCTTCATACAGATTAACAGCTCACCCTCAGCGGTGAGCTCCACACAAAACATGAGGAAATTAATCCTGCCTTCAGCGCTGGATTGAACCAGTTTTATAAAATAATTCTGATGCCATATTTTGAACAGTGTGAATAAAACAACATCTGATGTTTACTAAGTGAGTACTATTATTCTGCACAGTGAGTAAGGCCGTAGTAGTTCTAGGAGGGAAGAAACCCTATGTAACAGCACATTTAAAATTTGTATCATAATAAATAAACTCAAGAGGGAAAATTAAAATTGCACAGACATTTGACCTTTTTTACCCCAACTATAAAAGCATAGTATTTAGGCAGTAGTTTTGGGCAATTTTGTACTAGACTATAGTCTTTTAATTGGATATAGTGACTATGATCCCATTAGGAATAACAACAGACGTACATGTCAATCAGATACTTGAGTTAAAAAAAAAAGTTTCGTAAAAATGCAAAAAAAAGAATTCCCAGAAATGTTAACATACTTACTCATAAATACTTTTAGAAGAAGCTGTGCTGCAATAATATATTTTTTTTTAAAGACAAAGCTTTAGTAGATTATGGAAAAAGATCACTATATGGCTTACATTAAAGAACTTTTTTGCAGTGTTAAGACAGATATAGATAGGAATTCCGGAACATCTACTTACATTCACACTGTATCACATCTAAATTAAACTGCTGAATTGCTCCCATGCTTATTTGTTTTAATTCACTGTCCAGTAGCATCTGCATTAGGGACGTCGAAAGATGCTGGCAGGCTGACATGCAAGCTGTCTGGGCCACTTTCCCCTAGTAGAAAGAGCAACAAGTTTTAAGATAGAAACAAATGATATGTCAGTAAAGAATTGCTTATCTGATTTGATTTTAATATACACTCAAAGTCTTAATAATGCAGGACTTAGATTAGAAAGAGAAAGATCACACTTGCTGTTATTTCTTTGACCTGTTAGCTTTGTTTCTATTAAATCAATTGGGGAACTAAATTAAATATTTGTTAAAGCAATTATTGATATCTCTTCCGGAAATCCAACAGTCTTCATGAATACAAGGACATTTCCAAAATAATACCAATATAAGTTGCTGAAGCATATGAACAGCTTTGTGGATTTGTTTAATTTTTTTTACCCAAACAGAATGAAAGCAAGAATGTAATGAAAATCAACATGCTGCGTATTTTTAACAAAAGTTGGTAAAAAAACCCCAAACTTTATATAAACCAAAATCATTGCTTTCAGTTGGGCATTTCTCATAACAGCTTGTGCTAATTATTGGCACTTTAATTGCTTGAATTCCACCTCAAAGCTTGATGCTAAATTATTTAAAATATTCATGCTTATCCATCATCTTTCCAGGTGCTTAATAAATCAGTGCTGTCAGTAATCAATTACTTACAAAATGAAATGTAGCCCTCTGCTGTACGAAATAGAAATAATTTTCCAATCACAGTCTAGTTAGTAAGATTTCTCTTTACGACGTATATGTAATTGAGACAAATAATTTTCCAAACATGAGACCAAAAAACAAAGCACAAAACCAGACATTAATTTGATAAATTATTAAAAATTTAGAACAGAAAAATTGAAAGATATGGAAATTCTACCTTAGTATTAAGAAAACCAATTAAGACCAGATACCCGATCAGATGGCATCATTCTATTCATAGCACTGCAATCTTTTAGAGCAGAGCGATCTTGGCTTTCAAATGCAATTATATGGATTTCTGTAGTTTAATGTACTTATTAAACCATGCTTTTCAACTGATGTCTATGTTACAATACGTATTGAAACAAAGGTAACTATTAACAAGCTTACACGAAAGAAATCATAATTACATAATACACCTACTAGAGCACACACCACTATCGTTTTACTTATATCCATCAGTAAAGTGATGACACCTATCCTCTAAAGCAATGGTTCCCCAGCTGTTTTCTGCAAAGTCAGGTTGATCAATTCACTGTTGACTCACAGAAACACATGTAAGCAATGAAAAATGATAAGGATAGGCAGTAGTTCACTGTCCCAAAAAGTTTGGAAAGTTCTGCTCCAACATCTGAAGAGCGAGATCTTGTCATTAATAAGACAACTTGCTCGTATCATTGACTTTTCATGTATACATATAACAGAAAACAAATTTGGCCCTAAGTATTTTGTACTTTAAAAATCCATTCTTTGTTAAAACATAATTAAAATGTAGATAATACAATGGAAAGAGTTCACTCTCCTCACATATCACACTGAAACATTAAATGGCTTTTGCTAATACCTCTTTGGCATTAGGACACCTTGAACTGTTAGGAGCTTTATATCTAAAATGAGATGTCAGTTTCTTAATTGAAAAGCAAATAACATTTTTGACCAAAATAGATGAACTGACAACGAGGAATGTAAGAAACAATGCAAGAACAGCATGCTTAAAAGTCTCCCAAACCCAATGGTAATTACACTGGGAGACATGCAGCTCTATTCCCCAAGCAGAACAATATCAGTATGAATGGGAAAAAAAGAAAAGGGGGAAAAAAAGGGGAAAAAAAGGAGGTGAGAAGGGGAATCAATGGGCCACAGTTCATTTAATTACAGTGTAGTAGGTTTGAAACACTTAATGGAAATGTCATTTTGATTTAATGGAACAACTAGTGCATCTCTGTTTAATGTACTGCTCCATCAAATCAGCTCCATGTCCTATTTCTGCTGCCACTATAATAGAAGTTCAACCAGATTAATAGGTTGTCAAGAAAAATTTTAACATTCAATTTATTTTATATGCAAGCAATGTGTACTCATCTATTATTTTAAATAAAAGACAGAATTTTATATTTCTAACAAGCACCTCTAGTTAATTGTTACAATCTGGCAAATATCAATAGTACTGGAGCACAAGATAATGGTTACAATACAGAAATGACATGGTAAAAGCCACTTGGAACTTTAAATAAGTATCAATACATGTACGTTTAATGTTTATTTTAAAATTTCATAAGATGGAAACATCCTAACATTTAAGCTATTTCCAACTATGTAACTTGAACTACAGGCTTATTGTTCACATCACATATCAACAAATAATAGAATTTTACTATACACAGTTTATACTTACTCAATACAATCAATTTTCTTAAATCTAGAGAAAAAACGAAGCTATGTATATCAATCAAAATGCTGAATTTTAACTGAGAGAAATGTGAACTTTACTGTTACCCTCTTCAAAATTCAGTGCTTCCCAGTTCAAAATACGTTGGATGTATGATATTCAGAAAATAATTAAATTCAAATTCATGTTTGACAAATGAGATCTAGTTAAAAATCTCTCTCCAAATTTCCACCATCCACCAACTAATCAATTCCTTGCCAATTTTTCATAATGCATTTTGAAGAGGAATGTTAAGGATTCATGAACATAAGAACACGGGTTTTTTCCAGAATTAAACAAATCTCAGTTAGTTTTAAAACATTCTTAATGTTTATTATTTGTCAGTTTGGGGTTTTTAAATTACTATTATCTTTTTAAGGGGGGGTGGCTGTGGTTACTGTATCTAGCAATTAAATACCTATATTCAATAGCGTGTCGAGATTCAGCAGGCTTCTCACATTCACTCCAGTTGCCTCCCATTTGGAGACACCACTATTATCTCCACTATGCCTATGCTAATTGCTATCCACAAAACCTATTCTTCCACTCAACCAATGTAAAGTTTAAGAAACAAGGACCCTATTCTACAAGCAAAAACACCTGCTAATAGTGTTAAAGGCAACTGTTTTTTCACCCAGCCTTCACATTTTGCTGAAATACAAGTTTGTAAAAAGAGAAAGCCCTTAGACAAACTTCTTATATTTCAAAGGAGCTTGTGAAGAGAATCTGCTGACATATTAAATCCTTTTTTATAGGACCCAAAAGCTTTTCTCCTAAGAACAATTGCAGTAACAAGACATTTGGCTCCTAGGAAATTCCCAAAGGGTCAGCCATATGCATCCTTCCACAGCACCTTCGCGGTACTGCTAAGACCCATGCTAGCTGTCTCAAAAGCAGCTTTCATCGTTCTCTATGGTGTCAGTCAGTATGATTTATGGACCGCATTCAACAAAGTCAAAGCATATAGAATGAGAAATATGACTACAATCTGCTAATTTGTTTTGTATTGAGCCACTTAGGAGTCAAAGACCTGATGTCAGGCTGAGACTAGCAACACAATTAACCGGCCAGTGACAGATTCATCCATCCTCCCTGCCAGGCTGTGCCAATCAAAGACAGCATGAAGCGGCATTTGGAGAAATCAGTAGAAAACCCATTCTCTAAGTAGCCTGTGGAGGCTGTTGATTGACAGTTTTTGAATATAGCTGCAGAAAACCACCACTCCTTCACCCCCACTGCAAGCTGTGAAATTAGGCTTTTGCTGCCAATCACAGAAACAATAAAATAACACAAACTGCCATCCTCAGCATAAAAGGAAATAACAAAACTTATCTGTTAAATCTAAGAAGTTAAGCTGAAGAATTAATTTAACAATATGAAATGACATAATGAAAAACTTTCTGCAAATGCAAAGAAACTAAACATACAGATTTTATTGGTCATAATAACTAAAGCATTATATTACGTAACATCAGGGCTAAAATCCAACTTTTGAACTATTGATAAAATACAATAAAAAAACACTAATGGAATTTTTAAGAATCAATTTTACTTCCAGTCTCTGCCCCAAATTCTACTGAAATAATAAAAAATACCTACTTGAAAGTAATTTGTAACTGTTACTTTTCAGTAGTCATTCTTTTCCGAAGAGTTGTCCAATACTAACTTTGTACTGACAAAGCACATATCTAGAATAAAACTTCAGCTAATTCTAAACTTAAACACACATATATATACTCTCTATAATTTCAAATTAACTGATCTGAAAATAAAAGGTATGATTTTTCTTTAACTGTTCAAAACAAAAACTAAAAAATGCAGGTCCTTAATAACAAATTTGATCATCCAATTGATTTCATGAGATTAATGGCTGTATAATGAAATTTTAATTTGCTTTTTGATTCGAAGTATCTAATGACACTATAAACTGCAGTATGAACTTAAAATGGGATGTAAAAGAACCTGAAAACAGCAATAATCTCGAAAGACTAAATTCTTGTGACTTTAGAAAACAGAACCACTAAAAACTGCGTGACTTTTAAATCATAACCTTTCAAAAGCAATGCAGCCTCTGTGCTCTGCATCTCTGAAATTCTGCTAGTGCTTGGTCATGACATAACCCGCACACTGACACCTATTCAACATTAACAGGAAATATTTCTACACAAAATATTCTCTATTCCTAGTGCTCATGACACCTATTAGCTTGACAGTTCAACATGAGGCTGAGTATTCAAATCATAGAAATGTTCACTGGAATGAAGCACCAATGTCATCTAGTCCAGCCTCCTACCTGGAGTAGGACTATTGCCAACACTAGTTCAGGTCCGTTGTCCTTTTTTCTGGCTGAGCCTTCCAAACAACTGAGGATGGGCATTCAACAGCCTCTCTGGGTAACCTCCCCCAACACCGCACTACTCTATTCATGCAAACTTTTCCCCGATGTCAAAGCTTCATCTCCAGAGCTTCTACTTGTGACCATAGCCACATGTGAATTTGTCAGTCCTACCAAGAAGAGTTTGGCTCCATCACCTTTGTATCTGTCCTTCAAGAGGTTGTAGGCTGCCACTAGATCTCTCCCCAGCCTTCTCTTTAACTGACTAAATAATCCACCTCCCTAAACCTCCATTTGTTAGTCATGTGCTCTAGGCTCCTAACAACTTGTAAGCACACTGCTAGATCCTCTCTCCAGATCCACAGAGCTACTACTCAGCCAATTGCTTTCCAGATTGTAGCAATGAACGGGGTTATTCCCACGCTGCATACTCTAAGTGCCTTACACATTTGTTCACTTAACAGTAAACAGCACAGTGTACATTTGTTGCTGTACGCTGCTTAAGCGAACAAGATTCAACCACATTGTTAGAGAAAATTAGTAAAAGTAAGTTCAGAAATTCAGTATTCAGAAGCCACTCTTAACAGAATAATATTAATTTCAACACTTTCGTTATCATGGAAATGCTTATGCCAAATCAAAATAAACTCCTTATACAAAAATTGATGACCTGAAAATAATCAGGGCTTGGAAGAATTCTTAAATGCAGTCCATCAGCTTCTTAAAAATAAAAAAAAAATTAAAAAATCAAGTGCACACATTCCCTTGACCCTAAGCAGATGTAGCAGAGAAACGATGGAACTTTCACTGATTCTTTATTCTGTTATATCACTCTACCTTTATTCTGTATGCATGTCTCATAGCTGCATTTTGATACTTGACCTCTCTTTCAAACAGCCTCATAGTCTCCCCTAAACTATCTCATTTGGGATGCAAGGCACACCCCACCAACCTTCTGCAAGGTTTTTAGGGTTCCTGCTGCCCCAGTGTACGAAAGCCCAATGTTAGTCGTTAACCTGATCCCTGCATGCAACCACACAAGGTACGCAGCAAATCATCAGCAAAACAGAAGGGTCTTTTTATTAAATGTTTAAAAATTGAAGCAATAAGCCTGCAGGCAGTTCATAGTTTTGCAGTTCACATGCTTTTTCTTCATCTTGCATCTACTTACCGACATAGCTGCATGGTCATTGTTGTTATTCTGAGAAGGAAACCAGTAAGGCAATCAAAACAAAAAAATTAAGATGTACTGTCAACATCAAAAAAAAAAAAAGAATAAAAATTGGTAGCAATAAAAGGTAAGGAAAAGCTTCCAAAAAGAACAATTACAGCTACATAATTCTTTAAATTATTTTTTTTAAACCTGTGAACTTATATAGTATTTTGTTGAGGCATAACAAAGAGATTAGAATTTAAATAATACTAATTCAGCAATAAAACGTTTTTCTGTAATAAGGAACTGTAGGCCAAAATATCAAAGTAGCAAAATTCAAATGACAAAGCATCTATTGATACGCTTTTCCAGAAATCTTTCATTACAAGAAATAATATATTCCAAAATACTTAGGCTGACAAATAAATGCCATGTTTACTATCTTAGCTTACAGAGGCTATCTGTATGTCATTAACATACTTTGTTCAAGCCAGACTTAGAATGGCTCAGGACAATAAGAATCTAAATGTAACATGACCAATTAATAAATTTTAACATAAATCTAATAGTAATATAACTGCAGGGTGGAATAAAGCCATTTTCTTTTCCAAAACTGCTTCTTAAACAAACACAGAGGAGAAAACTAAGATGATGTAAAACTTAAGAGGGGGAAAAAAAAGCTTCAGAGACGCAAGACATTTCCAGTGATTCACTAGAGATATCAGACCCCAACTAAGTTGTGCCACAAAGTGTGCAGGTTCAGTAAAATTGAGATCATGGTCTACCTGATTTAGATCGCTAACATTCCAATAAAAATAATACGAATTGCATAAAACAGATGTGTAACATAAGATGTATTTTTTAAAAGTTATGTCTACATTGGTACAAAAATAATTCCGTATAGCCCCACATGGAAGCACAAAAGGAGACACATCCCTGTGCATTTACACAGCTTACACATACAGCTAAAATAAAACAAGACTCTAATGACAGGAACTCAATGACTGCAACAAAAAATTGTTAAAGAACATATCATAACACTTCTACAGGAAGACTAGAGTTTGAAACAATATCAAAGGGAAAGTCAGTGACCCTTGAATGAGACTACGGAGAACTAGTGTGGCCAGCTAGTGCCCCTAGCCCTAACACGATGCCCTCTAACGTGATCAGATACACTAAGGTAGGAAGAAAAGAGATTCCTCTACTTGTCCTGCTCTTTTCCTTACTAGAATTATGGCCAGTGGCTAGGACTTTTGTTCTTTGATTTCTAATTACAGAAAAGGCTCTGAGAAACTATTTTGAGCAGTGGAATGTTTCTGCCAGCCATACAAAAATTATTATGGAAATGACACTGTGACATTAATGGAATAATCCATTAATGAAAATGAATTCTAAAACTATTCCAAATCTTAACTATGGCAAATGAGAATCTAGCTTAGTTTAGCACTCCAAAGCACTTACTTTTTTAATGAGGTATGGGACCTAGTTCTGGGCTTATCTTTGAAAATGATTTTACTATAAATTTTCTCTTAATGAAAATAACTTACTATTACAAATCTAACCAGAATCACCACAATGAAACTGTATACACGTTTTCATATAACCTCCATAGCTCATGCACAACAACATTCATAGGACTGTATGTTTCTACAATTGGCCAAGCCAGAACAGGGAGCGATACACAGGATAAGTCAAAAATTACAAGAACCCTCTTGTCAGACCAGACTAGTCATCCATATAGTTCTACATCCTTCCTGTTACCTGACCAGAGTTTGAAATTACTAAATAACCTCTTCATAGGAACTAGCTTTCTCCAAAGGTTGACTTGTGCCCCCAGATACGTATTTCTATTCCTTTCACGTTTTTCAAGTCCTAATGCCACAGCTGCTTCTTTCCATCCCTCTTAACACATTACTTCGTTCTGTCTGTGGCTCATTTCCAAACAGCTATATCACAACATACATTCATGACAGACTTCGGTACATCCTTCTCTAGAAGTTGCACATCCCTTAACTACTATATGCATATGACCATTGAGGAGCAGTTTCATTGGTTCACACTGCTTTGTATGTTAATTTACAATGAATTTAACTACCTAGCAAACTTGTTATTCTTTATCAAAAAATGCTCAGCTGATTTGGCACAGAAGCACATGCCTCGTATGTCACATTCACATCAGTATTATGTGATACATTTTGAGTGGGTTATGTCTTTGAGTCAGTAAAAAAAAAGGAGACTGAAGAATCACAGCCTCTTCACATGTGATCTGGAAGACCAGATAAGCCCACTATGCCAGCAACTTCAACACCTTGCTGTGCACATAAAGAAATTATCTTTCACTTCCAGTCTGGAGCCTCAACACAGTCTATGCATTGAGGACTTATTCTTTATAGGCACTGCATGTGGGTAAAGCACTCAGACATCAGTGTGACAGTTGCAACCAAGGACAAGATGATGAAAAGCAGATATAGCTTGAAAGACGTACTGAAGTTACTCCAGACCTATAAAGCTATAAACTGTTATGATGATAAATCAAACTAGAAATAGCCTTTTTTGTCTTAAAGCAAGGAGAAATCAGACAACAGAATGTAACAATTAGTACATAAAACAGGTTAACAGTACCCTTTTACCCAGGACAAATTAACACAGGATGTATTTGAATATGAACAAGGATTCATTTCAATGAAGCTCCGTTAACTAGAATCAAATTCCTTTTTATGATCAAAACTATTCAGCTAAGAACAGCCTTGGAGAATCCAAGGCCTCCATAATCTTATGCACAAATGCAGGATTTGCACCAATTCTGCAGTGTTTGAATCAATGCATGTGTACACAGAACCAATATCGTTAATTAAAAAGGCCATCTGATGCTCTAGAAAACTGCACGAGTTCTTACACTATTTGTAAATTTGCTGTTGTTAACAATATTACTAAAGTATTTGAAAGTATTTTCTAAATATTACCATGGGTAAGCATCATCAACATACTGAAACGTATCTGAAAATACATCTGTACTGAAACATCTAAAAAATACATCTGCCAGCATGCGCACAATTCAAAAGTCACATCTATCTTCAATATCTTAGTATTTTAAAATAAACTAATGCTCCAATAGCTTGAAATTAAACTTAATTTTGAACACTTACAGGTAAATGAGTAAAAACTTGAAACGTGCTTCTTAAAAAGTTAATAAGGTCCATTAAGTATCCACTGGCTCTTCCATCTGATTCAGACATTGTCCAATCATAATCAGCAATCTGAATAAATTCATCTATTTTTTGGTTAAGTTTTGTGTATATTTCTCCTTCTGCAGCATGCCTTGCATCCTGAAAAAAAATTGTGTGCAAATGTCAGAATTCTAAAATATTATTAGAATGTAGATAAAATTATATTCGTCAATGAAACTGAAGTCTTGTGTTTTTCTTAGATTCAAAAAATATATTATTTAAATCAGTATTTTAATTTCTGTCTTACAAGTCTGAGGCTGTGGTTTTTAAAATACTCCCATAATGCATACTATAAGAGTGTTTATAACAGAATATGCCTACAGAATAATCTAAGTTTTCAGAAACAAATGAAATCAATTTGAATTCGGAAACAAAGCGATTGCTTTACTCTCTTCACAACAATCACCTTTAATTCAGCCTTACAATTTATCAACCCTGACACAAAGTTTATTTACCCTCTTTTACAAAGAAAATAATAAAAGAACCTAATTATTTTATCTGTTATGGCTAGAGGTCCAGCAATCGTATGATTTTTATGTAATTAATGTCTTAAAGTTGCACATCTGAAGAATACTCATCATTTTTCATCCTCCTTTAAATATCCTGATCATCACACACCGTGATTCAGAGCACTCCCCTACTTCCTCCCACCCCTACTTTTTGTTCTGCCACCACCCGGATTCTACTTTTTGGAACAGTAAAGAGGTAAAGTCTAGCATTTACTGTGAAGTGAGTTTATGACGCTAACTATCTGCTTTATTTGTTTAAGGGACATCCTCATAGATGCAATGGGATCTATGTACAGATACTTGATAAGGTGTATCTTGCTGGAAAGGCGTGCTTTTGCCAGCCTGGAGTTTTAAAGATACTCAATAAATTCTATGTTCTAATTTGGGGTCAACATGAAACTTTCTTCACTGATCTTTAGAAATAATTCAAGAAAGACATTTGATTTAAAGTGAACTGGTCAGTTGCTGAAAGTTTTTTAGAGGGTAAAAATAGGCTGGCTATACTGGAGCAACATAAAAATGGATGAAATTCCCATCGCTAGTTTCCTCCGGGAGAAAGCAGTCCAAAAACATGGCCCTTCAGAAAGGTGCAAATAAGAAAGGCGTAAATAAGAAAGGCAAAAAGAAAAAAAGAAAGAGAATCAAAATGATCTGAGCTTAAAGGTGACATCACATTGAGTGTGTCAAATCCAGTCTTCAGTCAGGCCCCAGGCTGTGAGGCACTTCAGGAGGAAGCGAGAAAGCATGTGGCCCTGCCGTGTATAAATATCAAAGTACTATTCCCTAAAACCAGCATTTTTACTGCCGAGCCAACTTGTAAAAGCCTCCACTGAACAGCTCTCCCAATCCAACACACAAGAATCTGACGACCTATTAACATGTCAAATAAAAGAATATGCTGACATCCACAATTTTGTAGATGGCTAGGACTATAAAAGCTTCAATTAAAGTCAAGTCTATATTTAAACTTTCTAATTAATAATGAGACCTCAGTTTCAACAATCTATAATGACAGGACTTGCAAATATATCGGCTTAGTTTAGTGCAATTGCTTGGATTTTTTGTTTGTTTGGGTTTGGGGTTTTTTTGTTTAAAAACTAAGTCATTTAGGGAGTGGTTGTATCATCTTTACCAGTTAAGACGATTTACTGGCAATGACAAGACTAGTCTTTCAGGGTTTTTTTGGGAAGTCTGTTTTTCGCTACCTATTATTTTGCTTTGGTTATTGGTTTACAATTGGAGCAGTGTGCTGCCAGTACTTTAAGCAAGGAGTGTTGCTCTGTTCCCTGAGAAAACTGTGAACAGCTGAGCAATTGGATTTCAAACCCTGAAGTTACTTCTGAGAAGCAGCACTGTGAATCCCATGCACAAGTCAAGAAAGAGTGAGTTAGCAGTATTCAGATTTGGGATGACTCCTACAGGCAGATGAATTAACTCCACCTCTTCTTTTAACGTAGTGACAGAATTGCATCAAAACCTTTTGAAAGCTCACCAGATTTTCCCCCCATTATAAAGTGAAAAGGGCAAATGACATGGTTTTGTTAAAGGACATCCTGAAGCCCTGCACGGGATTTGATGCTGTGTATCTGGCTCTCTGACAGCCATTACACAGCTTAATGCTGAGACCCTGGGCTCAAAAACTTCTGTCAACTAGGTCTGCAAATACATCTATTTATGCTTAGTGTGACTGCTGATTTAAACAAAGGAAAACAATGGTCATCCAAAGCTGGAAAACATGGCTACAAATATTGAAAGTGACAAAATTTTTTAACGTGATAAAATGAAACAAGTTTTGGTGTTTGTTTTTTTATTTTAATTTCCACCCATGTGAAACAATGCTTGGAGAGTCTGAAGGACATCTTAAAATGAGATCTTATATACAAAAATAAAATGAGAAAAACAGCCCTCTAAAACAGTAGCCATGAAATAGGTATGAAGGCTTCTATTAAAAAAATACAGTGTAGATGTACTTATAAGATCATCTTATGGAATGTAAATGTGATCAATGCTGCTAATAAAAGGAGATTTTTAACCACTCAGAAAGAATGGAGGTGACATGATTTGCCACCAGGAGATGAATTTAATAACAGTAGAACATACCAAACTCTGTGAGGGCCCAGTTGGGGAACTGCAAGCAGTTTTTCATTAAAATAGAGAGGAAAAAAAAAGAGGGATTAATGAGAAAAGAATTTTCTACTCTAAGTGGAGAACGTTGTGCTAACAAGTTCTCCAGGGCAAGAGACAGGAGAAAAGCCATAAAAAAAATTCTTCTGTGTTTGTCAGCGTTCATTCTCTATTTTTCCAAAGTGCATAGATACCAAGCTCACTAAACACAGATATAATATTCTGTGATTCCCTCCAACAGAACTTAAGATAGTTTATAGGATAGTTAAACATAACTTACAGCATAAGCAATCAGCATAAAACATAATGCAAACTTTCAACTGCATTTATTAAATGAAATTCAAGGATAAAGAACATCTTACCTCTTAATGAAATCAAACACTATGGCTGCATTAAGTGTTTTGTTTGAATGTTAAAAAGATTATGGATTGACCTTACACGAAAGTATCTATAGATATGCAAATTCAAAGACACACATGTACTATCGGTACACAACAAGCAAACTAGGCAGCCTACATCTTAAGGACAGGGCAAAACTAGTAAAAGTACTGGTAGGGCAATGGCAACCTAATTACAGTTGCTAGGCCAGAACCTTTCTGTCTTGCCTTATTCATTAAATCCTTAGCAAAACAAATGAGAGTTAATGGGAAAATTGTTGGCAATCAACTGGAAATATGAAGTGTCTTGCAATGATGATGTCTCATTCCACCTCACCCACCTTTTAACATCTATGCCAGAGGGGATATTATAATAGGATAGGCTACATATTGCAACAAGAGAAAAAATGAAGTACAGAAAACAGAACTACTCTCAATAGGATTAGTCCTCTTTATCCCATAAATACAAGAAATCACCCTCCTTTGTTCCAGCGTACACTGAAAAAACCCCAAATACCTAAAGTTCAAGTTGCAGCTGCTTTGGAATCCTTGATGACTTCTTGTTTTGTTTTGTTTCTCTTTCAAAAATTTCTGTATAGAAGCCCCAAGTGACTAAGAAGGCAATGCACTGGCTGAATTAACGGCACAAGGTAACCGATACAAGATTATTCTTCTGTGAGAATGTTTTCTTCAGAAAGTGTATTGGGTTTGCATGGCAAGGTTTTGGCAGCAGGGGGGCTACAGGGGTAGCTTCTGTAAGAAGCTGCTAGAAGCTTCCTCTGTGTCCGATAGAGCCAATGGCAGCCGGCTCCAAGACGGACCCACCGCTGGCCAAGGCCGAGCCCATCAGCGACGGTGGTAGCGCCTCTGGGATAACATATTTAAGACGGGGGAAAAAAACCCTGCGCAATTGCAGCTGGAGAGAGGAGTGAGAATAGGTGAGAGAAACAACTCTGCAGACACCAAGGTCAGTGAAGAAGGACGGGGAGGAGGTGCTCCAGCCGCCGGAGCAGAGATTCCCCTGCAGCCCGTGGTGAAGACCATGGTGAGGCAGGTTGTCCCCCTGCAGCCCATGGAGGACCACAGTGGAGCAGATACTGCAGCCCATGGAGGTCCACAGTGGAGCAGATATCCGCCTGTGGAGGACCCCAAGCCGGAGCAGGTGGATTTGCCTGAGGGAGGCTGTGACCCCATGGGAAGCCTGTGTTGGAGCAAGCCCCTGGCAGGACCTGTGGACCCATGGAGAGAGAAGCCCACAGTGGAGCAGGTTTGCTGGCAGGACTTGTGACCCTGTGGGGGACCCATGCTGGAACGGTCTGTTCCTGAAGGACTGCACCCCATGGAAATGGCCCACGCTGGAGCAGTTCATGAAGAACTGCAGCCCATGGGGAAGACTCACATTGGAGAAGTTCATGGAGAACTGTCTCCCATGGGAGGGACCCCACGCTGGAGCAGGGGAAGAGTGTGAGGAGTCCTCCCTCTGAGGAGGAAGAAGCAGCAGAAACAACGTGTGATGAACTGACCGCAACCCCCATTCCCTGTGCCCCTGCACCGCTCAGGGGAAAGAGGCAGAGAAAACCGAGAGTAAAGTTAAGCCTGGGAAGAAGGGAGGGGTGGGGGGAAGGTGTTTTTAAGATTTGGTTTTATTTCTCATTACCCTTCTCTGATTTGATTGGTATTAAATTAAATTAATTTTCCCCAAGTCGAGTCTGTTTTGCCTGTGACGGTAATTGGTGAGTGATCTCTCCCTGTCCTTATCTCGACCCACGAGCCTTTCGTTATATTTTCTCTCCCCTGTCCAGCTGAGGAGGGGAAGTGATAGAGCAGCTTTGGTGGGCACCTGGCACCCAGCCAGGGTCAACCCACCACAGAAAGAAAACCCCAACCACCCCCCAAGCACACACATTTGCTTCTATTCTAAACCAGAAAAGCTACTCAGCCAGACTGGGTCAGTGAAATAATTTCTGCCATATTTTATGTACATAAATACCAAAACTTGGTTCTTCAATGTACACAACCATCTGGTGCTTAACCACCACCAGAGCATGAAGGATCTCTAAGCATCTCTACACCTGTCCCCAAGTGCCACAGCACAGCAGGGTTTCTGGTGTAGGGCCATTCAGCTTTGCAACTCAACATAGCTAGTCCAGATGTTGGGATCTTGTTTTAGAGCTTACTAGGGTCATTATGACATAAAGCAGCCTGAGCAAGGATCAGAATTTTGACTAATTTATCTCAGGGATAAATCTCAGTCACCTTGAGTTACCTGACATTATGTGTATAAGTTGTCTTCAGCAATTTCATTTTTATGTGCAGGTTTCTCATTAACAACACATGTCTGCCTTACAACTGAAACAGGATTAAGGCCTTTTGAGTAATACTGTGGAGAGGGACTTCACAGATGAGGGTATGGTTTTTGCTCTGCCAAGGACATCAGATGCGACTATACAAGTCACTTGGCATTTTTGCTTTAGTTTCCTCTTTTCAAAATCCTTCAGAATTTTTGTATAGACAAATTCAAGAACAACTAGGAGAACTTCACCTACTAACGAGATGAGGAGCCATATATAGAAATAAAACTACAACATTTTTTATTTTAGGATTGTTTTATACTCGGCTTACAAATCTTACCATGCTAACTGTTGAAATTAAACAATTGTCTATGCTGAGTGCGCATCACCTATGATTTGCTTTAATTTTTTGAGATATAAGCTTAAGTACGTCTGCCATTTCTGAAAAATGTCTGAGATAATACATCTTGTGCAGATAAGCAGTTCCCATACATTAGAAACAGTCGCCATACATTAGAAACAGTCAGGTTCCCAGTGATCATTTTAACAACTATTATTGTGTGTATAAAGGACATGTAAATAAAATATGAATTCTGAAAAGATAATTGAATAATTTATGCTTTGTAGCACATTCTTAATACTGCTTTTATATTACTAAATTACACAATTTGAAAATACACCACAAAATGTTTCTATTGTAGAATAAAACAAAAAAAAAAAAAAACCCAAACATTTTAGATTAAACTAGCTGTTTTACTCGATTCCATTCAGAAAGGGAAGATGTTACACAAACTGGTTCTTAATCTATTGAAAGCTTCTGGTGCAGTTAAGCTTAGCTTGTCATTTCGTAAATTAATAAAAGATGCATCTGAAAGAGAGTATTGATGCTTCTCACGTACTGACATATTTGAGATCACACCACTAACACAAAAACCAGTGTTTATCCGCTCAGTGTTATAACTGAATTCTTAACAGTTCAGAATTGTTTTAGTCAAAAATGAGAAAGCATGCAGCTTTGCCCTCACCCCCTTTTGTTTTAAAATGCTTCATTTATAGTGATTTTAATGTAACTTTTCAGACATAGTCATATAACGGATGACATATACCACACCTTAAATGTAGAAAGTCCATAAAGTCTTGCAGTGTGAACAGTCACTTGTGAAATATTTGTAATGTTAGATATAAAATCCTCAAGGTATTTACAGGCTTGTTCCAGGTGTGTTGTGTTTATGATGATTTGAACAAGCTACAAGAGACAAAAAATTCTTGTAAAAATCCTTTTTGTACCACCCATTGTCATTTGATTTTGTAAATGGCTACTTCTTTCAGCAACAACACTACTAATAATTAATTACAGTATTTCAGGTTACCACCTATTACCTGTTAGTTTTCAAGTTTGCTTTCAAATACCACTAAGGAGTAATACTACAGTTTGTATACAAATTATGCCATTTTAAAAATGAAGACTGCAGACACCTACTCAGTGAAATAAATGCAACTGATATTTTAGAATTAAAGAAGGGAAAATAAAGGAAAATATATTGCCAAAAGCAAATCACTAATTTGTACCATAAAAATATTTCTTTAAAAAGTACTGCTATAAAAAAAAAAATAATTTCACAATATTGTCTGCAGAATGATGGATTCTGAAGTTAGGGAATTTGAAAAATAAGGTTGTCAACTCCTTTCCCCCGCAACAATGGTAACAATCTGCTTGTACATGATACAAATGTTTTTATAAGCAGGACCTGCGTTCGCATTCAATTCACAAATCAAACAACGTACATAATGTATAGTAACTGCAATATCCATATATATAATATCTTAATTCTCACTGCATACTGTCTGTTTTAGTGAACACTAATGTAATGCTTGGTAAAATAAGTTTTCTCTTTTTAACATTTTTCTCATAAAACATATTGACTTGATAATGAAACACCTCAAAAAATACTAGTGAATCTATTTTCATATCCTTGAAAATATTCCTGTGCCAATTTCAAGAACACAGAAAACTACATCTCAGAAAAATTGTATGGCTTGTCTTACTAACATGGCAATATATGATTTATAGAGTTCTCTCCTCATCATCTTCTTTTTGATTTCATCTATACAAGAGGTTCTTGCAGTTTAAAAACAACATTCAATATGACATAACACTGCTCTAATGGCAACAGTCTAAGTCCTCAGCATGTGTCAGTAGGTACCTGCTGTCTCCTGACATTGAACATTCACTGCAGGTACGTGCAAAGTGATTCACTGTCTCACCCTGTCTTATTCTGTCCAATAAACAAATTAAACCGAGAGTCCTCATGAAGAAACAACATGCACAAACCTACTAAAATATTTTAATTGCAATTTCTACAGAAAAAGTTTCATGTGTTAGAGTGAACATGAGATTTTAGATTTCTTCATCTGGTAGGTTTACCCTGAAACTACACAGTTCATGTCAGAGAGATTTTCTTCCCTCCCCTTTTTTTATAGGAAGAAAAAGAAACTCAACAACATGCCACTAATTGCTAGACAGGAGCAGAACACACGAACCATGCTCTGTATGCAACCAAAGTAGTAAGTGTCTTTGGCTTATTTCTTGCAAATCCCTGTTTATCATACAGGAGACAGAACTCTTTCATTGTCATCTCTCTCTCAAAAGGCATCCCTGTGTAAATATACTTCCTACTAAACCCAACACTGTATTGTTATTATTTATGTAACAGATATTGATGCTTTTTTATACTTCATCTTTCACCTCTTTAAATTTTCAATTTTAAAGCAAACACTACTTGTTTTTCTTACACAAATCTTAATACCACGGTATATCTACATTTACAAGAATAGTTTTAGCTCTAATTGTCTTAAAAACACAGTTTTGAGTATCTGTTTTAAAACTTACCTCGGTTAAACCTATATGAGGTTTTTTAATTAGGTTCTGTAAACAACTACTTAGAGTTCTTGTAAGCAGCAAATTTGTAGATTTTCTGAGCATATCATCTATTTCTGTTGAGCTGAAAAAAAAAGTTTATAACTATGCTGTACATGACAATACTTTGACAGTAATACTTAATATTTTTATTTTTTCCCTGCAAAGTTAACTTTTCATGTTAAGAATTTCCTATGTGCATTTAATTTCTGGTTGCTTCAAGTGTCTGTGCTCTAACACACAGAACCCCTCTTTCACTTACCAAATTATCCATTAACTGAATTTCAACACTGAAGCAAAACCCCTTTTTTTTTTTTTAGATTTTGGACATGTTTATTGACACAGCAGTTTGGAAAGAGTAATTTGTGGGTTTTAATGAGTTACTGAGGAGGTCAACATGTGCTCATTAGTACGTGTAAATTATAAACAGTATCAATTAAGAATGTGTGAACGCAAGTAATTTACATCTTTAACAGTGCAAAGTGGGTGACCAGCCATGACTACCTTCCAGATTTCAGATCTATATGAATGTTATTTTATGTAATTAAAACTAAGCTTTTGAAGGTCACAAGAGGAAAGGAAATGAGAAAATTGTGATGTTTTCCATCAGAAAAAGGTGGGATGGAAGGGGGAATGAGCATGCAGACAGCACGTTTTGTTGCAGGTGAAATCATTACTAAGGAAACTCAAAGCACTGAGAAGGGAAAGACCGTTTGAAGTAATCAGGGATGCTACACAATTATTTCCGAAATGGTCAGTACCAAAGTATATTTTTCAAATCTTACATGCTTTGCTAAATAAATAAAATATCTAGATTATTCAAACCAGTAAATACTGTTTAAAAAAACCCCAGCAGTGTTTTAGACTGCTTACCATGCCAAGCTACCTTCACCCATATGGACATACATATATTGTATACAATATATATAGACACATATGAAATATATGCTATAGCATTGGGAATCATAGATTAAATATAAAGAATTACATATGTAAATTATATGTAAATGATGAAACAAGCACAGCTAGCAAGCACACAAGAAAATATATTTTCAAATTAATATATAATTTTAGGTCTCCTGGAAGTTACAGGTTTCCTTATAGTCACATTCCTGATACTTTAAGCTTACCTGCGATGAAGTGACTCTGAAAACTTAAGGCTTGCATAAATAAATTCCTTAACCTGGATATAAATCTGAGGCACTGACTGAGACATTGGAAGCTTCTTTGGAAAGGATTGCTGTGAAAATAAAAGATAATACTATCTTACACTTGAAACTGATTCTAAGGAGAGCTTGGTATTAAATGCAACAATTAGAAAGCCACTTAACGCTATCAATATTTTAATCTATCTTAAGCTTTTCTGTTTTTCATCAAATACAAACAGTGGTATGTGTTGGGTTGACTTCTACATCTGTTTAAATAGCTTATAAGCAAAATAGAACTTTATTACGTATTTAAATTACAATGAAGTTTGGAGACTTCATGTAATTTAAGATCCCTCTGTAGAAAGTAATTTACAAACACACATTAAAAAACAGGTCTCAAGCCACTTTTAATCGGAACGAACAACATAGATGTAAGTGGGATGAGAGGTTCAAAAATGCAAACATTTTTTTGCCAAAGAAAGCAATGCAAAGAAAAAAAGAAGTTTTGAGATGTTCAATACATCTGGGATTTTCAAAGCATCTTGACTATGTTTAGGGATGTGTATTTACTATCATATATTTACTTTCTCTCGATGGCTTACGAAACCAAAGCAGTTTGAATTCATTTCAACAATTTGGATTAACGTGTGGGAAAGACTAGTAGTCTGCAAGAATAAAATCATGCTTCTTACTTCAACTTTAAAGCTGATATTGTATTTGGGAGGACAAAAAGAAACACATTCAATTAAATCTACACATACCAAATAGATATTTCTGCACTGAATACATAATTTTTTTAATCTGCAAAACAATTAATTTTCTGTTTATTCTATGACTAATGCATGAGAAAAATAATTAACAACTGGTATCATCCCTGGAGAATTCCATTTCTCTTAAAAAAAAAACCATTAATCCACAGCAGCTCAACATTTGTGTATTAAAAAACCAAGACAAAACAGATTACCTTGACATTCTCTTAATTGTACCTCTTTATTTAAGATCAGGTGGTATGACAATTATGTGGTGTAAGTGCTAGGCTTTCATATCATTCAACAGCGATACCAAACTTTTTTTTAACAATAAAATTTACTTCAAATATGTGTTCATCTGATTTAAGCAATTAAATTTTACAGATAAAACAAGTGCTATTACATACAACTATTTTGGATCATTACAATATTCTGTCAGCAGGGCTTGAGTTTCAACCTTCATATATTCAACAATCTAAGAGAAGCAATTCTTTATCCTCTACAGTGTCTGGCCAATACAGGAGGACACAACACTTTCTGTCTGCTTATTAGACTAGGCAGCAAGAAAAAAAAAAACAGATACAAGCCAATTGTTTCACTTCTGAATACAGAAAGGGAGTAAAATTAGATGATATAATCAAACCATGATAATCTGGCACATTCAATTTAAACAGAAGAGTGCAGACAAGACTGTTTTGTCCAGTCAGATTGGACTTGCTATGTTAAGTATCTAGTAGGTTCTGGTCATAATTCTGCCTAATGTGCTGCAAGCAACTCCTATGATAAACTTACCTGTAAAATGTCAGGGTGATTCATCCTAACCTACAGTTAAAAATGAGACACTCACTCACGTTCATCTCTTTCTATACTAAATGGAGAGATACAGACATTTTCAAAGACAAAATTCCCCTTAATCTGTAAAAGGCATCAGAGATGCATCAAATGGAATTAGCCCTCTGGGGTGTCTGTTCCTCTCTGTCAAGTACACAGGCTCCTTCAGCAACTAGCCTGAACTTACACATCTTCCCCCCCCCCTCCCCCTCCAAAACATTGAAATGTAGATTAAATTTCTATTCACCCAATAGGACGTCCTGATGCCTTATAGCCTGAGGCAACAACAGAGAGATGAAGTGGATGAGATTATAAACAGCAACCAATAGAAGTGATGTTGGAGCGTTTATAAAGTTTCCCCTCCATGTGGATTCCCTGCTATCTAATAACATATAAAGTAACACTTCAGTCTTTCTTTCAACAGGGATACTTAACGATTCTTTCTCCTCTATCCCACTTGCCTAGTTGACAAAACTTTCAGGAACTCAATTATCTTTTGAGATTTCTGCCCCTTTGCTAAATCTGGTTGAAGTCAACTAAACTGCTTCAAAAATTGCCAGGACACAAGAAAAAACCTCAGACTGCCTTATTTCTAATCATATCCTTCTGCTTTACATACAGGTTTCAAAGCTCTTTTCAGAGATATGTAAAAAAATGTTATCCCCGCTTTACAGTTAACTAACAGGGACAGAGAGATGTGAAGTGACTTACCAGCACCACGCAGCTGGTCAATGATAGAGTTGGGAACAGAATCCAACCTGATTCCCAGGCTTTACTCTCAAGCTCACCAGCCCAAAATCAGTGAGATTCTGCCCATAAAATATCTACAAAAAGTGCTGCTCACTATGAAATAGAAATCCCTCCCTGTGTCATAAACCAAACTGAAAATTGCTGGGTACAGAGAAGACATTTCCCTTCTGGTGAAATAAGAGCCAAAGCTTTGTATTAATCATACGTATACGTAACTACACATGCCTACACAAGTAACGTCCACACATGCATGCTGATACATCAGACAGAGAGAGAGGCTAGCAGATAAAATTATTTAGTGCAAGTTAAAAATCTCTGCAATTTATTAGCAAAATATGTCATGCTAAATAGTATCTGGGCTGTGTTATACTTCCAACACTGTAAGGCATTTCCATTCTGTTTATTTTAGTATAAATATAATATTTTAGTATTATAATGGCTAAGTAAATGAATTTGATGGAGGAAAGCATCCAGCAAGCACTCTGGAGTCTTACTCAAAAAATCAGCATAAAACCCACCTTTAGTTTTTCATCTTCACTGTAATACTGTATTAATGACATGCAGCTGTTACATTTGCCTGGTAAATCCCTGCTGAATCACAGAATTAGAGTATCTTTTTACTTTTGCGGATTTCTGTAGTGATGGATCACATATAAACCAGCTTCCTTCTACAACAGTTACTCCCACTGTCATGTGGTTCTTAGATTTAGTTCCCCTCTACAGACTCCAACATGGGCCTGTTATTTCTTCATCGGTGTTACCAAAACCATGTTTGAAGAGCAGAACATATTAATCACCCTTGTGTGAAAGGAGTTTGTAGTGAAAGAATGGCTGAGGCTATGAAAGAATACCCTATCGGAATGCTAGTATGGCAGAATTACTTAGTCTTTTCATGTTTATTTTGCCCCACATACTCAAACACAAATAATTAATTTTAAAAGTGAAATATGAAAGTTGCTGTCTCTAACAGATCCCTGTTTTACACGTATTTTTGCAATACTACAGCATATAATATACTATGAATTACTAAACCAAATGAGTTGCAACAAAATTTAACTAAAGACAGACCGTATTATAATTACATAAAGACTGTATCAATCAAAGTGTATTATTAATTTGTTTACAAAAAAATGGGTTTCATTATTCACTCCAACATCAGAGCAAATGACTAAAGCTTTAATTTTCATATTTATTTATGACTAGATAATTACACACAAAGAAGGTGATTTAGCCTCTTAATCTACCTAGCTTTTCAAATTTTAATTGCTTTTTAATTATAAAAATCATTACTGTCCCAAGTGTCCTTAGCTGGATTTCGACAAACTTTAATAACATAAAACTTTTCCTTACCTTATCAAGTTCTGGATCTTGAAAAGGAAATTTGCTTATAACTATTTTGTATTCCTCTTCATTTGCTACAGGAATAGGGCTGTAGTTGTCCGCTTCAAAAATATCCCTGGTGAATTAGTAAAGTGAAAAAAATTTAGGACATGTAACTTATTTACAGTATTTTCCAGTGTTAAAACATGTAAATTAATATAAATTTTACTACCGCACTTAGGTGTGCAGCTTCAGAAAGTTATGAGATGCAATCATCATAATTTCAGACATCCAAACTATTTTTAGATGAATTTGAAAGTACCTTGTATATGCTAACTCTTTATACTGTGTCTAATCACAGAGAAAAAATAGCTGAAAGCGTTTTAATATGTATGACTCAAAGCATAATACAGCAAAGGAACTTCAGATCAACTAGCCTACTCCAGGGTAAACCATAATGAGATACTTATTAATTATGGTAGCCTACACTTTGCCTACACTAAAGCAGATATTCAGAGTGTCTCACTTAGGTACCACAGCTACATATAGTCAATAGAGACGGTTCAGAGAATTTTAACTAGGCATATGGCCACAGTGTTAAGTACCCTCTGGACTTTTCTACTCATCAAATGACTATACTAGGAGTCTAGAGAGCTTGAGAACCTGAAGCGGTCAATTTAATTTTCAGGTTTTCTGTAATACAATGTACCATATTTTATGGTAAACAATTTCTGCACATTTAGACATCACACCCTATCTGCAAACAGGCTTTGGAGTACAGTCCCTGGCTGCCGTATTCCTGGGTTTACAATTTACTCAATCAATTGATTCCAAAGAATAGGTGGAAGCCAACCTGCATTAAAAAAACATGAAGACATACTGGCAATGTCAGTAGTCTGTCAGGGACAGTCATATCAGCTAACTGTAAACATTAAGACAACCTAAATTAGGAACCTAATGCCCTATTGCAATAGCCTAGGGTTATTAGGTTCTTAATGAAGAAAACCAGACATTCCTCTCCTGTATGTTTCTCCAATAATGTCCCTTTGGAGACCTTCCTTCTCTCCATTAACTACAGAAGCAGTACTCGATGGCTCTTCTCCTAAATATTAGTTACATGTGATTAATATCTTAGTCCTATCCAACCCGAAATTCATACACAATACTGAGTTAATCAATTCTTCCAGAATTACAACTCTGTCAAAAAAACTTGAAGTTAGACAAAAACAATAGATGCAATACAAAAGGTACAATTATTTTGAAATACTAACCTGAACAGTCCAGACCACTTTTTAAGAAGTGTTTCATTGTACTGGTCTCTTATCTCAAATAAAAGATCAAATAGTCGGTTCACAGGAAAACCATAGCCCTAAAGTATAAAAATGAAAAGGGTGGATAATTCAAGAACTAATACACTCAGTTCCTATCACATCACTTCAGGACTCTGAGATGAGACTTATTATTCAATCTTGTCACTTCTATAAAACAAATTATAGTACTTTAAACACACCACTATAATTGAAAGATTACATATCAAATTCTTACCAAATACTTTATCCTATGCTTTCGGTTTTCAAGCAGAAATTTGTCCCATTTCTCTAAAACATTTTAACTTGCTATTTATGCATATAACTAATCTTTTTGATGAGTCTGTTAAACATTGCAAGAATACTTGCCAGTGATGCTCATCTGGTCTTTCAGCTAGAGAGTTAATGATAACTGGAATCCTATTCTTGCTAAAGGTCAGAAGTAAAGCATTTATAAAAGACAAAAACGTACACAAATTACAAAGCTAACATTAATTTTGCACAGATATGAATAACTGGATGCTAGCTGGATAGCCCAGAATGCATACATTAAATTAATAATACTGAAAAGGAGGAACCAAGGCAAGAAATACATATATTTTAAAAATATTATTGTGTAATTTTGTTCTTGATTCATATATATGATTCAGGGAAAACCCAAAGCATTGCACTTACTCACCTAAAGAAAAAATTTGACCCTAGGAATTTCAGTTAAATTACTAATATAATATGTACCTGCAAAGTATCAGCAAATACTACAATGAGATTCTTCAGTTCCAGAACAAGGTCGGGATCACTGCAATATGACTGAAAGTGAGAAATTCTGGTTTTGTTAAAAGGATTTAAAATATGGGACATATGTTTTCAAAGAATATTAGCACAGAAGGTTAAACTCTCCAGCCTTATCTCTTTACCTGACTGACTACCTTAGTAAAAGGCAACTTAGACTCACTTGTCTTCACTTAGTTCAGCTACATAAAAGTATTTGTTATATTTTTACATGAACTATCAGTAGTATAAAAGCTCAAAAAAAGTAAACTAAAATATGAGATTCAATAAACATCAGTATGTTGTACTGAGATTCAAAATCAGCAAATTACATTTATTTCAGCGGAACATAAGCACACATCAAAATGCTTTGGTAAATCAACATCAGAGAGGTTTCCACAGGACGTTCTTTTGAACACTAAGCTGGGTCTAACTAGTGCTAACTGTGCTACCCCAGACAGTACCCCAGCTGTATGGGGAAATACTATTAAATACTTTCTAAATAAATTCAAATTATAAATTTGATGGTAAAAAGTCAAGACATTAAGTTATTTACTAAGTGACTGAAATTTGATTTTCAGAGGTGTGGAGTCATACAACTAAGGCTTTCACCTCAGCTTCACTATTTGCGATACTGGATAAAGTAAAAAAATATTTATATTAAAATAATTTAGAGCAGCATGAGAATATAGTATTGGTTAGACTATATACGCCTGTTTCACCTTTCTTTTAATTATTGCTCTTAGCTTACTTTAATAAAGTAAGGGTTTGGTTTACAATACCTCATAAAACAATACACACTTATCTAAACATTAGCATGTACTAAGATGATGTTAGAAAGAGATTATGATAGAATTGGTTTTGATGGGAGCTATCCATTTTGAGAAGAAATAGTGATCAACTACATTACAAGATATTGAAGAGTTCTTTAGAGATTACATTACTTTTACTCCTTAAATTACCATATTCTTACATAGGTGTATAAATCCATACGCAGCCAATTAATTTGCAAAGTATTTAGCTTTAAAAAATGCTGAATAGATCTCAATTTATCCTAATCCTCTAAAATGAATTAAAAAGTATGAGAACATCTCATGTACCACTGATCAGTAAAGGGCCTATGATAAAACTATAGTTGCAATCTGACCTTTTTCCCCATTTTTCCTCAGTATATATGAAATGTAAAATATTCCTCGAATTAAAGACAAATCGTAATAAAAATAAAAATAACATTGCATAAAGGAACTGCTTCTAGCAAGGGAAAGATAAAACTTTTCTATTTTTTCTAATAGTGAAAGTTGTACCAATAGTAAACTCTGAAGCAATTTACTATCAGTCAGTCTGAGTGAACAATGGTATTCCATTGGTTTTCACAGAGGAATAAGAAATAGCATGCAGCTATTCAGCATCATTGGAGCTAAGGCAGAAATGTAACTTTAGGAGACACACTTTGAATGTACTGAAATACTCAGCTGATAAAAATTACATTCTAACATCTGTGAAGATTTTTCTAATACCTTTACTTCAACATAAACGTATTACTACTATAGCCTGAAGAGCTAGCTCTAAGGGTTTTGCTGGTGGAGTTTATTTTGGAAACACAGCATTTGGAATGATAATTAGGAACTATTTCCTGGTGGTGCTTTCAGTGCCGAACTATTCAATCTGATCTAATGAAGAGGTCAGTTGAGACTAATGAGGAAGGATTGCAATAATAACAGCAGATTAACTGTGCATATTCTAAACTGCTGGACTAAGAGAAGGTTTGGAAGACCCAGTGAGTTGTAAATCAGTGGAGGATTATGCAAATAGCCCATGGCTGCGGATCACAGCCTGATACTGTTGGGAAAAACAAAAGCTTGGCAGGCTCCCTCCCAAATCTGAGCAATTTTTAATCACAAGGAAAAGAAAACATGAGAGAGGTGTAATTTTTCACTTTGTTACTATCCCAGCTTTAAATATACAGAGCTCTGAAGTAAGAGGATTTAAACTGCAATACTGGTAAGACTTCTCACTTACTGAATGTGTTCTTAGAACAGCAATGATCTTGGAAAGGGCCATGTTCCAGAGTTCATCAGTATATGTTCTAGTTACCAGTCCTTGGGTTACATGTAAAATGTGGTCTTCTACTACAAAGAAACTAGAACAAAATAATGCTTAAATTATTAAGTTGTTTTCTAATATTAGAGCAAATTCTACCCTTTCACACACAAGCATAGCCAAACCCTTCCCCACTCAAGCAGTGACATTTTGGTAGGTTTGGTGTTCTGCTTTGCCCAGCATGAAGTCAAAATGTGAAAAGTTTGTTTCACACCAGCTGGAGCCCAGGCTGCTAGAGGGTCCTTGTGGGGCACCGTACCGGTAGGACCTGGATGCTCTTCCCCGCTCAGACTCAGCAACAACCACCCACAGAAACTGAATCTTGCAGAAGAAAGTTTTTGGACAATGGGAGAACAGAGGGTGAATTAAGAATCAATATAGTAAAACTGAAATAAATCTCCGTTTAGAAAAAACTTACCCTACAATTTGACTGAAGTATCTTCTATAGCCTTCTACTGTTTCATGCTTTCAGTGAAAAAGAAAACAAGTTTAGGAATAAAAATACCACTAAGTATTAGGTACAACCTAAATCAATGCAAAAACAAAAGTATTGGTTACCATGCTTGACTGTGGCTGCAGAACTAATCTTGCTTGTTTCCTTCTTTGTTTTCTGTAGTAATTTTCAAATATTTCTCCATCACCCTAAACCAAGACAAAAGTAGTTAAAACAAGAACATTGTCTCAGTATGAAAAAAGACATTTCTTAATTTAAGGGTAGAATTCTCTTAAACTAAGCCACATATTTTGCATTTATTCCACTCCAGCTGACACCAGCAAAGTTTGCATGCATGCAATATGCAGAAATTATCTTTTTTTTTTAAGTAGCCTACAGAATGTACTGTAAATAAAAATTTGGCTCATGTGCCTACATTTTGTCAAACAATATTATGCATTTTAAGCAATATTAATATTTATAGACAAGGCATATTACCTATTACTCTATAACTGAAACTCCTTGCCTCCTAAAACGGTTCTCTAGGTTATTCAAGAAACTAACTGCATTGTAAAGTTACAAAAATGTTTCTGTGAATATATGATACATCTGAACACTGCCTGCATTAGCTTTGTCTGAGAAAAAAAAAACATCAGGTTTATTTAATATTTGCTTATTCTCTTTGGAATTGGTAAATGTAATGGCTGTGGATTTGGATTTTTCTCCTATCGCAGTCCTCGAAGATACAATACCCTCTGTGCCTAATGATTATATTGTGAGGAATTCAAGTGACATCCTCCCCATCTCATTAAGATGACCATTCAGTAGAAACCATCTGTCCATTTGAAATTAGTGCTACGTTGACTCATCTACCTAGTGAACGCAATGTAATTTGTATGCAAGCAGAATAAAGCAACTTAGCATTTTTAAGGTTTGTTTTTACCTCATGAGCCTATTATTAGGCCAGCGCTATTTAGAATTCCACTACTTTGGCTTCCAAAAATCTTCAAACCAAGTTATTACAGAGATTGTACATTGCTAAGTCAACATTACTTACCTAACTCCTTTATAAGATATAACAAAGAAAGTTTAAATTTATTATTTTAAGTTCATAATGAATATTTCATCACATTCAGAAATACTGCTAACCTAACAAAATCTAAAAGTAAAAAGGAGACTTGGCTTAAAAAAAATTTGAAACTGAGATGCAAATTTACTAGAATCCTTTCTGTTGCAGCAGAACTTTATACAGTGTGCTATAATTCGTACTAGCACATATTGATCAGACATACTAACCATTCACCTCCAGCCCAAATATTCAATGCAGTTTTCAGATGCACAAAGCCATTATTGAATTCTACTTCCAATGCCAAATCTCTACTCAGTCCTGACACAAGCTTCTCAAGTGAAGAAGAGTAGCTGTTCTTCTCAAATCCACACCAAAAACGGACATGTAAAATATCTCATGATTATTTATAGACCATGCTATCCTATGCAATCAAGATCAGCAATTCAGGCATAACAACTATTTTAAACAGATGTTCTAAAGCAATCAGCAGAATACAGCAACAACCCTGATTATTCACTCATTGAATAAGCAAAGGAAAGGCAAGATAAAATATACCGAAGCAATGCATTTGTTTTGCCCAGCTTCCAGAAGTTCATGAGTTTATATCAATAGAAATAATAAATCAGTTCACGTTGGGTTATAAATTCTAGGAATATTGCTCATATATCAAGTGTTGTTTCACACCATAGTTACATTTATTTTATACTGCTATATAGCATTTAGTTAAAAGGTAACATTACATGCCAAAGGGATCAAGGGTGTTTTCAGCAGAATTCAAATATACAGCATCTCACACAATATATGGACTAAAAAAAGTTCTTTATATATATTGCCCAGATGTTTCTAGTCTAAAGAAAGGTTACTCGTCAATACAGTCTATGTTTGGTACTTATGTATCTTGCAATCACCAGGTTGCAGTTACAAGCTATGTAGTATTCTGAGGTATATAAAATCCCGCTTTCTTCTTCAATATGAAGAAGCAGAGTAGAAAACGTTTGTCCTGCATAAAAATACAATATTTTCTACAGTTTTGTAGCAGCTTTGTAGAATTTCTACAGCTTTGTAGAATTCACTAAGAAGGTGACATTTGCTGTGAGATAAGTCCTTGATATAGAAATGTAATGAATAGCCACCTGGCATCAACTCCCTCCTTCGCTGTCATGAAGTTATTCCAAAAGAGATGGTTTACAACAGGAGGTAAACGAGAAGGACTCCAAGAAGTGAGTGATTAATGCAGAACTCTTGATAATGCTACCATGGCTTATTAATTAGCTGATGTTGGCAGGAAAGACAGAAGCCCTATTCTGAAGACATCAACAACCCTTTTTTCTAAGGGGCTAAGCACCTTTCATATCAGAGAGCACTCCAAGTTGTTTTCTGTCTCCAGTAAATTTGGAAGCTGGCAAACTTTCTGTGCAAACCCAAAGAGCATATCCTTGGATCAAGGATCCAACACCAGGATCCTTGTCAAAGTGAAAAACATAATCACATATTACTATTAAATGTCATCTATCAATTTTACTTCCTGTTCTTTTATTATACTAAAGGAAGAATAAGCAGATGTTGTCAACTGGTGTATTTAAATTTACACATTCCTTTTTATATGCTATTTCACACTTATTTCCTCTGTAAAAACAAATGGTCCACTCTTTTTTAATAGTTCTGGCAGCCTGTCTTTCTGTCCCTCCTGTTCTTTTCGTCAAGATGGATAATTACTGATGTAATTATTGATGCTTTTGTTTGGATTCCTTCTTTAAAAAAAAAGTAACAGTGAAACAACACTTTAAACATTATTTCAAGATAGAAGCCTTCACGTTACACAGCTGCAAGGATTCCATAGAAAGAAGATAACCCAGCCTGAACGCTTGAAGCCAGGTCCAGCTGAGATTGTAGGATTAGCAATACTTAAAAGTACTTCATCTATATGCTCCTGATACTTACTCTGTAAGTAATCTGACTTCAAAAACTAACTGAGACATAGGAAAGGTGAGAAAATAATAAATAATTTGTTATCAAGTTTCGCTAAAAAAGTTTTCATCCTTGTTAGCTTGTGCATTGTGCTTTTTTACAGCAGCTAAAACAGGCTATTGTGTCTCTGCCATTGAATCCAATCTAATCTGCCTGAGCACAGTCTATCACAATCTCCAGTTTTTGCTTGCTATTTTGCTCTACTATTCTGATTTTCATAAGATTCAGACTGAATATTCCTATGTTTTGTAATATTGATCATAACCCCACAAACATTTGGGTAACATGTTTGTTACCCATGTTTTGCGGTTTGGAACTGCAGAAGTGCCAATACCACTATTGAGGCAGACATGCATATTTTACATATATTCTTAAGTACACTTATGTAATTAATGTCTTGCTGTGTGTCCTTTATTATGCATATAAAATAAAACATGCAGTTGTGCCCTGAGTATCCATACTCTACCCATCTCAGCTGGTTCATCAAGCACTACTACTACTAGAATCATATGTTTGCTTGGGAACTATTAGAGTATGAAAAATACGAAAATGAACATTCAACTTCAAAAAGATATTTTACTTTATACACCTTAATACATACCAAAACTGAGTAGATGTGCAAACACCTATAGACTGGAGAAAAGTCTACAAGATCTTGAGCAGTTAAAACCTGAAGGAAAGGAAAGGAAAACAGAAAAGTGTATGAAGTATAAAAAACACATAATCTGCAAAATGTGATACATTACCAGCAGAACTTGTCCACTTAATAAACACTTCATAAGACATCTTACTGGTAAGGAATTATCCCTTCCATTTAAATTCTGTTTTAGTGCTCTTAATGTTACAACTGCTCAACTTGGTTTCTTAAAATCTGGAGATTTAGGGGAGAAATAGTAGTTTAGCAGAGTGTGAAGTTAGTAGACTGATGAATCTAAAGTTCAGATGAATATGGAAATACATTGGGGTGGAATACAAAAGCATGACCAAACTGGGACCAGCAAAAGCCAACCCTGTTCACAGGTTTTATGGCTACTAAAACTACTGTTTTCATAGAAAGTGGTAGAAGGAGTTGGCTTTAATGACTTGAAGAGTAACTGCACTGGTCTTTTTGCCAGTAATTTCAGGACCCAAAAATGGATGGGACCTATCACAAAAGAGTAAATTAATTGTTCAAGTCTCCCCTCCCTTTGTATTACAGTACTAGATTTTATTTGTGTTACAAAACCAGGCTTCTTTCACTGTGTTTTCAGAGCACCAGATTTAAAGGTCTAAATACTTGCTGTTTTATTCAATTTATGAACACTGAGTATTTGATAGCTGAAAGAGTTCTAACACAAGCTGAAGTCCTCAACACAGAAATGCTGGCTTTAGCAATAGCAGAATATTCCAGTGGGCCACATATCATTTACAGTGGGCAGGTACTGTGTAATGTAAATTGCAACTGAATTCCAGAATAATTACAAGTTTGAATGTCCCCAAACATGATGCTAAAGCTAGCATTAATACAACTAATATTTTGGCACTATTTTCTCCCCCTAAAATGCTGATCTGGACTGGTGTCCCTTGAAGGTGTTCTCTGGTCCTTCCTAACTAACGTTGACCATCTACAGACATTGTACTGCAAGTTTTGTTCAATAACCCTACAAAAATCACTTTAAATAAGAGGTACTGATTAGTGTGAAGTTACCTCTTCTTCATGTTCATCATCTTCTTCAAACGTTCGCTTCAATGTAATTTCGTTCTTGGATTCCAAAATTCTGCTTCTACCTAAATGCATATTCCGACCATAGTTTACATTTTTTTTAAGAGCGGTACTAAAGGTTTTCTGCTGCTGTGCCTGTTTTAAAAGTAGTACCAATAAAGAGCGATGTAATACAAATTTTATCACTGATGAGTATATGCTATGACATGAAAAACAGGTGGTGCTATTGAACACACATCAGTATAACTGCAAGATGTGCACTCTCAGCCTACACCGATGATTTTGTCCTTAATCTATCTGGGATGATAAATTAGTTCAATAGCTAATTTCTGCATAATTTTTCCCTAATCCCCAGAATGCAATTCTAAAGGTAGAAAAAATTTTAAAAGTAATCTGTAATTTTCCTAATCATAAATTGCAAACAGAGAATCAATATTTAAATGAAGTAGTTATCACAGACTTTCAAGCTATTTGTTTGCTGTCTTCAGTTAAGCCTTAGTGAGCAGTCAGCTGCAGAAGCCAAATGCACTGTATTGTCCCTACTATTGAAAGAAATGCAACAAGGTAGCACAGTATAATCTTGCGATTAAGTTTCATTTATAATAATCAATGCTGCATTTTACAAGAACCTTAGATGACAAAATGGCAACCCAACCTGAACTCTTCCCAACAAAAAGTCAAATGAAAACTTTAATGCTCTCCAAATAAATTTTAAAAGCATTAACTGCTTTAAAGCTTGCCCAGTACCAGTGCTTTGAAGTGGCAGATTATTTTGTGATGGAACAGGCAAGGGCTCCAGCTGTCCCAGTCTCATCCTGGCTCTCACCTCAGTCCTCTGCTCTCTCTCCTCTGTAGTGTGCCCTCTCTGGAGGGTAATATGCCAATGCCATGCCCTGTATTAGTAGTACTTTAGGAAGAACTAGGCATTATCTCAACATCTCTTTTAGTCTTATTCATCCTTGCCGGCTGGCCAGATGGGCTGCTCGTTGTTTTGGTGTAGTAGTTGCCGACTTACAGACTGCCTTGGAGTTGACTACTCAACGTGTTTGACAATTTTTTGCAACTTGAGATACACAGCATTTTGCCTTTCTTTCCCAGGGAGGAAACTATTTCTTGTCTAGGACACAGATATAAATTTGGAAGGAAAGTCTGATGGTACTGAGGTGGCACGCTGCTGCTTCTTGTGTTAGCCAGGGACCGCTAGAATTGACAACTTCATGTCCAGGAGAAGAAACTACCCAAGATGTTAGCTAGCAAATATTTCACAGTTCTCTATCTTTCCTCAAAGGTCTATGTGATGACTACAATCCTTAGATAAATCTTCTGGGCTAACCTGAGACTATTGACACTGATATTTTCAGTAGATAACAGGACAGAAGTCATCCTGTTAGGTCGGCTTACCTGCTTCATGGCAGTTTCCCCAATTCTGTCAGAATGCTTTCGAATACTCTCTAAGAAATCCTTGAGATCTGACATGGATATTTCTTTTATTTCTTCACGCAGTTTTGGAAGATTTTCTATCATTATCTGGCAAAAACGGTATTGGCTAACTCTAGGAAGATATAGATTTTCTAGCTGTTCCATTGTTTTTAAAGCAGAATAGTATCTACAAAGAGATTAAAATCAAATTATGTAGCTTCTTATCAAATTTTAATAAAATACTTTATCAAATATGGGATATCAATACCATACACGCAATCGATATATATCGAATGAAATTACTCTGTTCTTAGAAAAATTAAGAAACAAAAGGTCATCCATATAATGCTTTAGTTTGGAAAAAAACAGTGAACTGTCAGAGTGACCCAGTCAAGGAAAAATTTTAAGTAGGCTCCTATGGTATTAGCTGTTCTGATCTACAGATTCCTAACACCACACGGAGCAACTTGCAGGATGGAGGCACTGAAGTCGTAACAATTCTCTTCCCTTCTAGATTGAATTTATCAGGGTTTTTTATGAGTTCTTTTTTCTGAAACACAAATTGACAATCACCCAACATCACAGTATATGCACCAAACAGTGAAAAAAATCTTGGAAAAGTATGCCTATATGTATCTGCCTTCTTTAGGTATATGTGAACGTACACCCCACACACACACCCACCTCGTTCTACCATCCTTAGCTGGAAAAGACTTGTATACACTTATCTCAAGCAATATTTTTTCTAGCAGTATATCCTATTTTGCTGTAAACCTTGAATCTATTTACCCTTCTGACAAAATACAGTATATGCCACCAAGAAAACAACTACTTTGAACAAGCATTAAGGTCGGAGGGTTTTAAAAAAAACAGAACAACAAAGACTCCATAATTTTCACTATTCTTCTGTGTTCTGTTAGCCTACAGAATATTTGTAGCAGAAATATGGAAGATACGGCCTGAGAGGGGGAAAAAACAAAACACCAAGAAATACTTCCTCTCATGCCCATACACTATGCAGATGTTGTACAGTACATTCATAACTATGTTGTGAAATTTTATATAAGGGACAATGAGTTTAAAGAAATACTCAAGTTAAAACTAAGCGTAAAAAGTGATTTAACTGCAAAATAAATAAAAATAATAAAGACTCAAACAATTTTGACAACAGAAGGCTACCAAATACTGAGACATCAGCTCTACCTATTACTACAGTTATTCACCTGTCTTCACTCTCAGTTCTCTCATAGATTACAGGGGTTGAGGGGCCAAGACTTACTTGCTAAAACCATTTATCAACTTCAGGCCTGTAGCATATGAGTAAAATTTTGATGCTTTCAGTTGATTTAGGAAAACATTTAAAGAAGGAAATTTTAATTGAGGGAAATTGGTTTTCTATGCTTCCTCTTATAATCAGTAGAGAGATGAACACCACAAGGTGATTCCGAGCTGCCTCAGGCTCCTATATGCCTGTTCCTGAAGTCAATACCCTTCTCTATTTTATTTTCATATGTGACACAGGCTCCTAAGGCAGAATGCTTGTGAAAATTTTTACTTTATTGAAAAGATGAAGCAAAATAGAAGTGGGCCAATTCTGGGACAGACAGCTAAACTAAGAAGGCAATAAACAGAAACACCATGATCAACAAATCCATGATGTCAACAACATTTTAAACAGTGGTGCAGCAAACAGGTTAAACATGAATAGGACAGCAGTTAGTTGTAGATGTGACAATAATTTTCCTTTACACAGTATTCTTACCAGCCACTCAGCCCAGAAGGCTTTTGGAAAAATGCATTTAGTTTGGCCTATTATAACAGAATAAGGTGAACCGATGCCTTCTAGCTTAGTCTTGAAAGGGAAAAGTAGAAAAACTGAGATCAGACTGAGATAACTTGCTGTTAGTTCCAAACTTTTCTTTCCACAAACAGAGAGTAATATCCTTAGCCCATTTTTAGCTTTTCATATTATAACCTTAGTTCCTTTTTCTTCCTGAAAGCCCTACACAATCAGTATTGGAAAATTACCAAATCATTTTGAAAGGGAAAAGCTGAAAATGAGCAAAGTCCCTTCAAATGTTCAAGAAAACCTGGAAAATGACCTTTCCAGTTCTTTTGCTTCTGGATATTGCTTTGTAGATATAGTGAGTGAACACTTTCAAACTGAAATACAATTCAAGCTGCTGGCTCCCCTTCTGTAGACAAGCAGTAATAAATTATTAATACTTCAGTCATAACTTCTTATTCCGTTCTGAAATAAACATGTTGTTTTGAATTTTCTCAGTCAGGACATTTCTAAGCTAACAGTTTAGCATAGCTGGAGGATGGGAAAAATCTCTTTTATTCCAGAACACAACTGCTTTCAGGAGACTGCAAATAAAGAGGTTTCAAGTGTAAATTAGGAGCTTTTGTTTATTATATACTTGGTTTATATAAAATATACATAAGGCAACGGGAATGTTGCAGATAAGAAGGGGTCTGGGGGTTTTATGCGTGTGGTTTTTGTTTTTTTAAATAGTAAATGACCAAGAGTGCCACATGGTGAGACTTCTGGGGAATAAAACCATAATAGCATCAAAATCGTATAAAAGGTTTTTATTTAAATTATATGGATCAGCTTATCAAAACATCGTTAGTTCATCTGGAAGGTTTTTGACTGCTGTCTTTAAGATCAGAATTAACATAATCCATTTTAAATCCATTCTAGAGTCCCTTACTAATTATATATATATGGAGCTCAGGACCTTGCCCTTTTCACATCTGTTCTGATAAAGCACGGAAGTCTTATTAATTTGAAGGTCACCCGCAGATCAGGATTTAAACTAAAAAGTTTTGCATATCATTTCATGGAACGATATATTTGTATATTTTGCTTTAAAAACATTCCATAGATTTAACTCAATGCTGAAAATTTTGACAACAATATATGATGGGAACTAATAATATTATCAATCATATAAGGTAAAGATTGCCCATTTGACTATAAATGAGTTAAAGAAGTACCTTCAATGTTTTGGGTTTTTTTCATATAAATATAGCAGTCCTCTGTGTCTATTTTTCTAAGCTAATCTTGTAGGAATGTGTTCCCCAATGTAAAATTTATAAAGTAAGCTTTGAAATTGAAGACACAGTTTGAAACACCAATAGAGGTCATATGATAAGATTGTCCATCCATCCATCTTGTCATCAGAAGCAGAAAACTATAAGACGGATTTTACTAACATCTCCAAACTATAAAAATGGAAACTTCTAAAACCAGCAAGAAGCAGGACTGGGGAACACACACACACCCCCCCTACACCCCCCCCAAAAAACCAAAACCAAAAAAACACCAAAAAAACCCCAGCCAGAAGATTAGTGTTTTGCACCATATTCTAAAATTGAGCTGGCATTTTACAAAATGGCCAAGTCCCAGGCACAGAGTAATCAGGTCTGTATTAGAATTTTAAACATGAACACACAAAAAATCCAAAAGAAAAAGAAAGTGACCATTACCTTAGTGTACACAAAGCATTAAGTTATGTTTTAAATGACAGAGAGAACTTTTAAGATTTTTATCAGCAGAGTGTCATTTGGAGGCAGTTAAGAGAAATACCATAACTTACTAAAAAAGCCCCATCAAGTTAAACTTGAGCAGTCAAGAAGCTACACAGGACAGGAGCAAGATGAAGTCAAAAGCTGTGAATTTTCCTGAGAATAACACATTTGTACACAAGCCTTTTGAATAAAGAAACACGTAGTGTGTCCCAAAATTTTCTGCTGAAAAAACCGAGAGACAATAACCTTAAAATTCTCATTTTATTTTAATTAAGGAAACAAATTTAATTTACAAAGAAAAAATAGTGTTGTTCTCCGATTTTTGTGCTTCTCTCAGAGGCAAATACTGTATATTCCTGGATACTACATTTCCATTAAGTAAATACGAAAAACTTTTGTACTCTACCAAACAAATTCAAGGGAGTTCATCAGAATTTTTCAATAATACTGTGGAAAAGTCACATTCACAGAGATCCTGAAGATGATATACTGAAGTGGCAATTGAAAACCTTTCACCACAGGAACAACTATTTATTTATTTTGTTTTTAAATCTAGTTGCCTTAACAATTCTAAACCTAATTTGTAAACTTCCCCAGCATACCAATTTTATCAGTTGCCCCAAAGGACCACAAACTGAGATCAAGGCACTACTAACTCTGAAACTTCCGTAAAGTGAGTCAAAAGCTCAGTATTTCTGAAAATCGGATTAAAGAGTTGCTGTGCGAAATAAACAAAATCTGTGGAATACCTTTTTCATCCATAATGATGTGATAAGAGATTTTTTTTAAAAATAGAAATTATCGAAGAAATAGGGTTGTAAGAACAGTGAGAAAAGCAGCTGACAGTTCAGTATCAAATATATATTTTGATGGGGTTTTTTGCCAGATCCATGATACCTCTGGGAAGTATTGATTTGCAGTTGGTAAAATCCAATGCCTCATTTTGACATGGTTCTAAAACAATGCAGAAAACCAGAATCAAATCACCATCAGT